ACGGTATGTGTGTGTTACTGTGTCTCTCTGTGATGACGGTGTGTGTGTGTGTTACTGTGTGTCTCTGTGATGATGACGGTGTGTGTGTGTTGTTACTGTGTGTCTCTGTGATGATGATGATGACGGTGTGTGTGTGTTGTTACTGTGTGTCTCTGTGATGATGACGGTGTGTGTGTGTGTGTGTTACTGTGTGTCTCTGTGATGATGACGGTGTGTGTGTGTTACTGTGTGTCTCTGTGATGACGACGGTGTGTGTGTGTTGTTACTGTGTTTCTGTGATGATGGTGACGGTGTGTGTGTGTGTTGTTACTGTGTGTCTCTGTGATGATGATGACGGTGTGTGTGTTGTTACTGTGTGTCTCTGTGATGACGGTGTGTGTGTGTGTGTTACTGTGTGTCTCTGTGATGATGATGACGGTGTGTGTGTGTGTTACTGTGTGTCTCTGTGATGACGGTGTGTGTGTGTGTTACTGTGTGTCTCTGTGATGACGGTGTGTGTGTTACTGTGTCTCTGTGATGATGACGGTATGTGTGGTTTGTTACTGTGTGTCTCTGTGATGATAATGATGGTGTGTGTGTATGTTACTGTGTCTCTGTGATGATGACGGTGTATGTGTGTTACTGTGTCTCTGTGATGATGATGACGGTGTGTGTGTGTGTTGTTACTGTGTCTCTGTGATGATGATGACGGTGTGTGTGTGTGATACTGTGTGTCTCTGTGATGATGACGGTGTGTGTGTTGTTACTGTGTGTCTCTGTGATGATGATGACGGTGTGTGTGTGTGTTACTGTGTGTCTCTGTGATGATGATGACGGTGTGTGTGTGTTACTGTGTGTCTCTGTGATGATGACGGTGTGTGTGTGTGTTGTTACTGTGTGTCTCTGTGATGATGACGGTGTGTGTGTGTGTGTTACTGTGTGTCTCTGTGATGACGACGGTGTGTGTGTGTTACTGTGTCTCTGTGATGACGGTGTGTGTGTGTGTTGTTACTGTGTGTCTCTGTGATGATGACGGTGTGTGTGTGTTACTGTGTGTCTCTGTGATGACGGTGTGTGTGTGTTACTGTGTCTCTGTGATGACGGTGTGTGTGTGTTGATACTGTGTGTCTCTGTGATGATGATGACGGTGTGTGTGTGTGTGTGTGTTGTTACTGTGTCTCTGTGATGACGGTGTGTGTGTGTGCTCCCAGGAGTACGTGTTGTCCCACACGGAGAAGCCGGCCTCCCTGGAAGGCGCCGAGGCGGCGATCCGCAAGCACGAGGACTTCCTCTCGTCGATGGAGGCCAACCGCGACCGGATAAACGGTGTCATCGCGTCTGGAAAAAATCTGGTCCTGGCAGGAAATGCACACGCGGACAAGATCCAGGAGCGCGTGGACAACATCACGGACCGGTAGGATCCACCCGTGCCGGAATCAGAATCGGGGATCTTTATTTATCCTGGAGGAGGAGTAGCTATGGGGGAGGCTACGAATCGCTTTTTCACAGATGTCCAATCAGGGGTCCCAGAGGGGAGGCAATGCCCTGCCCAAACTGGGCACGATATTTTTTTTTTTCAGTAGCTTATGATAAAGATTAAAAAAATCATTCATTATATGCACCCACGATTCCTAATGTTGATTGACAAAGGGAAGCCCTGCCCCCCCACCCTCCCTCCCACAGATAGAAGTAAACTCCGCCTGTGAGAGTAAGATAGAGAAAAGTTAAACAAGTCACTAAAATATGAATAAATGCAGCAATGCAAGTACAAATTGCACTCGCACATAAATTCCAAGTGCAAGCTTGGGCACGGCATGAAAATAACAATCCAAGACCATTTGTTCATAAGTCTGTCGCTTAAAAACAAACAAACAAAACCATTAAATATTACAGCAACTACGATAACACCACGACGAGGTGGCTACCGGTCGTCCAGGAGCGGTACAGAGAGCACGAAGCTCGTGGGTCTGAGTTAAACTGCATCGAGCAGTCGCTCTCCCAGCCCACGCCTCACGGGGAAGCGAAACGGAGCGGTGACTCTCACACCCCCCTTGTCGTTTGTTGCAGGCACGCGAAGAACCAGGACACTGCCAGGGGACTTCAGTTCCTCCTCAAGGACAACAGGGACCTGCAGAAGTTCTTGCAAGACTGCCAGGAGGTGACGATTCACAATCAACTCACGCTTAACGTTGGTCATCATCCTCTAGGTTTCATTCAAACAAAATACAGAGGGATTGCTCATGCGTGGCCTTTCCAGTCGCTCCACAACTTAATCAGAGGAATATGTGCTGTCACTATGTGTTGCACGTGGTCCGTGATGACGGTGTGTGTGCTCGCAGGACTAGGTGATGTCACTATGTGTTACTGTGATTACACGTGGTCCGTGATGACGGTGTGTGTGCTCACAGGACTAGGTGTTGTCACTATGTGTTACTGTGACTACACGTGGTCCGTGATGACGGTGTGTGTGCTCACAGGTCTAGGTGATGTCACTATGTGTTATACTGACTACACGTGGTCCGTGATGACGGTGTGTGTGCTCACAGGACTAGGTGATGTCACTATGTGTTACTGTGACTACACGTGGTCCGTGATGACGGTGTGTGTGCTCCCATTAGTACGTGCTGTTACAATGTGTTACTGTCACTACACGTGGTCTGTGATGACGGTGTGTGTGCTCACAGGACTGGGTGATGTCACTATGTGTTACTGTGACTACACGTGGTTCGTGATGACGGTGTGTGTGCTCCCAGTAGTACGTGCTGTTACACTGTGTCACTGTGACTACACGTGGTTCGAGATGATTACCAACTCGCGTGTCAAGCAGAGTGTAACGTTGGTCATCATTCTGTAGGTTTCATAAAAAAAAAACTACACAGGAATTGCTCCAGCCACTCACAACTAAATCAGAAGTAAATACATACGTAAAAAGAGCCTGAATAAACACATTGTGTGGCATCTCACATAGCGTAGTTTCATTTAAAGCAGGTGATGGGTGCGGTGGTTCTTCAGTGCTATGCTTGGAAGATAAAACGTTGATGCTGTGATCACGCGTACATAATGTACGCATGCACATTTAACTTCTTTCGCACCGTGCGTAGCCAACCGTGCTGATCGGAGGTGCGGAATGAGTGTGGAGGCAAGCGGTCGGTTCAATCCCAGCAGCCGCCCTGCTTCATTCTGCGTGTGAATTCAAACGTAAAACACCGCGGCGCGAGTCCCAGGTCCCGTGACGCTGTTTGACAATGAGCAGGGCCACGGCGTTCCGGCATCGCGGTCCAAGTTTGCGGAACGAGAAAAGATCGCTCACAAACTGGCACCGTCGGGCAGAGCCCCGGCAGCAGTTCGCCTCGGCGATAGCCGCGCGATGTGAGAATGGCGCGGGCAACGCCAGCGTCTCTGACGCCTTGCGCCACGACGTGACTGTGACGTGTGCGGAGCAGCTGAGGCTGTGGATCAGCGAGAAGATGGTGACCGCGAGCGACGCGTCGCCCTGCGGCGAGGCGCGAGGCCTGCACAGCAAGTGGCTCAAGCACCAGGCCTTCATGGCGGAGCTCGCTTCCAACCAGGAGTGGCTGCACAACGTCAAAGAGGTGTGTGTGCGTGCGTGCGTGCGGGCGCCCCGGCGCTGTCTGGGGGGCTAGCGCGGCTCGCGGAGGAAGAAGGAGACTTGGCTCTCGTTTCGCTCACGCGCGCACGCTCCGACACTCGCTACGCGCGTGCGTGGTCCTTTGAGGCAGCAGCGTCGTTCGCTGCTGCTTCTCGCTCCGTCTGTCTCTGCCTACACCGCACGCCCGCATCGTCACTTGCTTCGTTTAATTGTTCTCACCAGTCTGGTGTTTTCATGAGTCTTCGTTTAGTCACTTGGAGTGAATCACTCTTTTGGAGGATTAAAAAAAAAGTATCTACATTGGGTGCCTTTACGTCAGTGTAGGTGACCGAGTCTAATTACAAATACGAAGGGGACATCACAGCGGTACACTTCGCTGCTCCTGACGCGGTTTTTATCTGGGCTTGACCACCTGGATGTGAAATGATAGTTGTTGCTCTGCATCTACATCAGCAGCCGTACAACAGAAGAAGATTGAGTGTGTTTGAACGATATCAAATAAGCTAAACGACATCCATTATAGTTCCTATTTACACATTAACTTACTCGTTTTTGTAAATATAATAACAATAAAACAAATTCACCATTTTGACAATTCACTTCAGGATAAATGACTATTTTGACCATACTTCACCAACGCTGGTCAGTGCGAGTTGATGAACGGAGGCCCAGGTGTTGTTCAAATATCACTCGAAGCCATGGCCGGGAATCAATCTCAGGTCACCGGATTTGTAGTGCAGTGCACTAGCCACTGTGCCACTCCCCTCCCCCTTCTTGTATATGAATGCAGGGAATTGACCCTGTGCTTTGTTCATTATCTCTTGGAGTTGTGCCAGTCTTTGTTATGGGCATGTGTAATGCATCATCGTATGTGCTTTGGACGGATCCGGCCAGGGTCCCCACTTGGCAGCAACTCCCCTAATCCATCTGTGTGGCGCTTTGAATGGTATTCCTCTTTCTAATGCGGTGGGTTATATTTATCGGTCGGTAATGGATTTGCCACCCACATGCCGAATAGAAATGCAGGGCCCTACTGACGAAGGGACTTGAGACACAGTGCTGCATAAACGAAGAGCTTTACTTGACTTAAAGCTTTCGTGACTGCAGGAATTCATATTGGGTCTTTCGGTAAAGTAAAGTCACGTAGATAGGTTCAAAGAAAATAGCAAAAAACTACGTTTCGATCACAACACAAGCGGTCGTCTTCCTGATGACGAACGCTTGTGTTGTGATCGAAACGTCGTAGTTTTTTTTTGTTATTTTCTTTGAACCTATCTCGGTAACTTTACCGAAAGACCCAAGAATGTGAAGAGCTTTCCTATTGTGATGTTTAATCGTACGTCAAGCGAAAGCTGATAACTTGGTTAAGCCAAGTCTCTTTTGTCGATTTGTGCAAAAAAACACAAAGGCTTCTGTTAAAACATGCACGTGCAAAGGCCCACCTTTCAGATACGAGGTGTAATTAAATGTCACTGATTCAGTTGTAGTAGGGTGGAGTTAGAGGCCTACATTGGATAAAAGGCCTTTATTTTGTCCTGGTGCTGACAGAAGTGGTGTCATCAGCCACGGTCAGGTTGAGGTGCACATGGGAGCCCAACTCTATAGAGGCCCTGCTGCTTCTGCTGTTCGTGTCTGCAGCTCAACAGACGAACAACGTGCGAGCACCAGGACAAAAAGGCCTTTTTGCCCACATAGGCCTCTTAACCCACCCTGCTATATGAGTATCGCAACGATGTGCTGCTTGCTGCAACTCTCTACCCTAACCCTTGAGATGTCCTCTAGCACGCGCGTCCTAATGCTCTTCACAATTTCCTCTTGTACCTCCTTACTGCTTTCCTACGGCAGAAGTAACATCCACTCAGTCTTTTCTCTGCCCACGACACTCTGTCGTCTCTGCACGTAAGTCTCCGGTTTTCCTGTCATCACAGACAGGTGCGCATTCTGTGAGTGTGATCTCCATCCCAAAAGTACGCGTTAGATGAATACGTGAACGACGCTGGCATGCCTGTCAACCCCTTATCGGTGCCCTACCTTATTACAGACCAATTCAGACCTTGTTGGTCACCCCGTGCCCCTTATAAATCTCAACGTTCATCCTACAAAGTCCCATCACAAGGGAGAAACACAAACAAATAGACAAAACATGTTTTTGCCCGTATTGAAACGGCTGTACGCCGTATGGACCTGAAAACTCAATTTCCCTGTACAAGAATACGGGGTAATCCGTGATGGGTTGACAGGAATGCGCTTATGTAGTCTGGGGACGTGTGTAGTTGGAGTAGATTGTGAATGCTTTACGCGATTGTAAAGGAGTTAGAGGATATGTCCTGTTCTCAAAAGCACGTAAATACTTTTTTAAGTTTAAGCCACTTTCCATTTACACTATAAACTTAAGCCACAGACTGAGTGGGTGGGTGGCTCAGCCATAGAGCGAGCGGCTCGCAATTGCGAGGTTGCGATTTCAAATCCTTGTTTGTGGATGCCTCAGCCCATCGTCCCTCCGGAGTCAACAAAATGACTACCACTTTGTGGCTAAGTTAACATTGGTTGTCCTATGGATAGTAGACTCGCCCTCGCTATAGGAATGTGGAGTTCCAAACATTGGCTACTGGCTGTGAACAGGAGAGCGGTCCCAATGCCTCAATGGTCATTTGTGGTGCCACGGTGACAAGATGTTAACTACCTCGCCTGGTATGCAGGAGGTCGTGGGTTCAATCCCGACCCTGACGCCTGCTGTATATTTGGAGTTTGCGTGTTCTCCCCGTGGTCATGTGGATTTTTATCCACATTTAGAAACATGCGTTTGGAGTGTTTGGCTGCTATAATTGTCCGCGTGATGAGTCACTTGGTTGAGCTGTCATTTGTGACCGGGTCGCTTCTGAAAAAGGGGCTACATAGCTTAGTGGGCCTTACCTGGTAAAATAAAAATTGTTTAATTTTATAGTTTTGTTAAATTTGAGCAGGAAATCGATTTGACTTTTTGCATACAAAATGCCAAGGGCCTTGTTACGTTGTGGAGCAGTGGAGCTTCTGCCTAGTCCCAGCGGCGTGCATTTCACGATGCCGGAGGCTACAACCGCTATAACAAGATGGAGCGCCGGCGTGCATCGGTGGGCACCGCCGGTGAACGCGACAACATCGGAAGTCGAATCACGAAGCCGGCCTAAATTGACAAAGCCTGCTCAAGCTAGCCCGGCTCGCCTGCTCACACGGCACCGTCACTGTCGCCCCCGCTGCGGCAGGCCGGCGCCGTGCTGGTGCAGCAGCAGCCCGGCGCGGCCTCGCTGGTGCAGGAGAAGCTGGGAGAGCTGCAGGCGCTATGGTGCCAGCTCGAGAGCTGCACGCAGCACAAGGCCGAGGAGCTGTTCGACGCGAACCGCACGGAGCTGCTCGCGCAGAGCTGCTCGGCGCTCGACAACTGGCTGGGGGACGTGGAGAACCAGCTGCAGTCGGACGACTACGGGCAGGACCTCACCAGCGTCAACATCCTCCTCAACAAGCAACAGGTGTGCACATCTTCCGACCAGGGCCGCCAGCCGTTCCCGTGCGGACCCGAAGCCGGATGCATCTCTAAGTGAGCACGAGGTGTGTGTTGTCAGCACTGTACAGTTGACCGCTATGACGCTCAACACAACCGCCGGTACCGGACCTCGGTGCAAATGAAATTAGCTGCCACCTGCATTTGGATCGTGTTTTGTATTTGTGTTGAACTTCTTTCGCACCGTACGTAGTCAACCGTGCTAATCGGAGGTGCGGAGAAGGACAACAAGCTAAACGCAAAAAGCGGTTCTAAAGAAATGAGTTTGTCAATCTAGAAATGAGTTTTTAATCATGCCAGTTCCCATACTCTTTGGGTCAAACCTGGACAAGTTGGTAACAATGTTTTTGACAAGCGTGGCATCGTCGCCGTTTTGTAATTAGTACCGGTACATTCTGGCCTGCTTTGATTAACAGGTACGGTTTCACACAGCAGCCGCTGCCTTCCATCAGAGTGGAGTTTTCTGGGTGGCGCTGCGAGTTGAGCATTTCTCCTCTCAAGTGTTTTGCCACGCACACAACGATGCGTGTTGGAAGGAGGCAGTGACCGCAATCCAACAACAACGGAGGGCGGAGGAGCGTCGCTCACAACAACGAGCGGAGCGCCGGGTGGCTAAAACACAGCGAGTTGGCACAGTAGGGGGCACAGGTGGTGTATCGGCCAGTCATCTCAGTCATTCGAACCCGTGGCACCTGGGTCTGCCCCCGTGACCTCCTGCCAGCGGGCATTCGACACTTCACGTGGCCTCAACGTGCACCTGGCCTGGCACAGGCACTGTGGTGACGCCACCGCCACTTAGTGGCGAATGGCGGTGGTTGTTTTGAACGCAATCCACCTGGTGATGCTCAGTCAGAAATCGCTCGTCCGATGAGTCCGCAAACTTGCACGGCAAATTAAGTTCGAACTCTCGGGGAGATTCCCTCAACCCAACCCGCAGGAGTGCGCAGAGCCGGAGAGTAAAAAAAAAAACACCCCTACACGTGGCCGCTTTTGCTGACGCGAGCGGCGGGAGTAAAATAGCCGGGGGCCGTGCTTGTCCGACTAACGGCGCCCCCGTGCGTGCCTCGACGGAATCAGCTGCTCGAGAAGCAGGTGGAGGTGCGTGCCAAGGAGGCGGAGGATCTGTCCGGCCAGGCCGAAGCGTTGCAACGTGAGGGCAAGGGCGGCCCCGAGGTGGCCGGCCAGCGGCACGCGCTGGAGCGGCGGGTGCACCACGTGGCCGGGCCGCTGGCGCGGCGGCGGGAGCGGCTGCTCGCCTCCAAGGAGGGCTTTCAGTTCAACAGAGACCTGGAGGACGAGATGGTGAGTGCTGCAGCTCCGGCGTTCCCCCCCCCCCCCCCATTGAAAGTGTTTTGGCGCCGGCAACTTGAGACGCGAGTGTCGGTGTGCAGCCGTGGGTGTTCACGAGCAGGCCCCGCTGAAGAAGACATTGTACAGACCCCAGCAGGCAAGCTTGCGGCAGGGCCCCATGTGATGCGTACGCAGCAGGGTAAGGGGTCACGAGTGGGTTATGGGATGTTGCGAAGCCCACAGTGATGGATAAAGAATGGAGGGAGAATATTAAAAAAAATAGATGATTTACCAAAGTTATCAACAGAAGGTGTATATCGGATCAATTGCTTATGCGGTAAGTGTTATATTGGACAGACGGGACGTAACATTAGCGCAAAGTAACATTACTTCTCCCAAACGCAGCTGTCAGCAGTGGCAGAGCATGTTTGTTAACAAGGACATTCAATTGATTTTGATACCGTTGAAGTGTTATGCAGAACTAATTATTACTGGCCAAGATTAGTTAGAGAATCAATTGAAATTGAGAAGAATTCAAATAATTTCAATCGCTGTGATAGCTATAGACTCAGCGCAGCCTGGAAGCGTATTAAGTAATACACAACACATTGCAATTCCTTACAGGTGAGTCACATGCTAAGTGGCTGATTACTGATCTAATACATAATTGCATACACCCCCACCACCCCCGCCTCTGATCTCGAATTCTGATGGGGTTCAACAATGATGACGTCATCCTGCACTATTTAAGACCGGAAGCAAGTGGATGGCTTCATTATTCTGGCAAATCGCCCGAAGATACTGGATGTAATTTGCAGCAAAACGTCGTACAACTCAAATTGTAAATGTTGTGGATCCACTTTTCAACACCCCGGTGGGCTAAAGTAGTGAACTATTTTGTCTTTTGGCAACGTGACACATTTTTTTTTTTGATTGGCCGCGTCGGGTCGTGGAGTGTTGTGACACATTTATAAATAACGCGATCTAACCCAAAAACCTCTATTATGAAGAATCTAAAAAGTTTCTCAGTGGTAGAATGAGCATGGGGGGGTGGGTGGTGGTGGTGGTGCTCACGAACATTTTGAGACCCTGAGCCAGGTGTGGAGATTTCACATTTTTGTTCCTCAGAACAAGTTGGGGACAACTGTTGAGTGCTACCGATTTGATCGACCTCGTTGGGACGACGTGTTGCGTTGACCCACGATCAGGATTTTGAACTCGCAGTCCCTGCCGTTGTTGAAGCCCGGGCACACTGCCACACACGCGAAGGAAGTGAACAGCTCTTGAGCGAGGATGCGTGAGCCAGTGTCTGCACCAAGGGGCATTTCGTTCGTGTGCAGGCTCTCTGGGGCCTGTGTGAGCCTGTGCCATACGGCGCGAGAGCAGTGCCGCATCACCCCTGAAGCCTGTGGACTGCGGACGTCACTCACTACACAAGGCCCTTTCTTTACGCAGTCCGGTGACTTGGGCCAGCCCTGCTCATTAGTTTATTAGGCCTAGAATAAGTTGCCAAGCGTCGCTTAAAAACTCCTAAACGTATCAGTTGATTGTTATATACTCACGTGATTAATGCCACCGACTCCCAGTGTTATCCACATGCATGAGGGAGCTTTACAAGTTATGCTGCTAAAATAAGTTCACCTATGGCCGGTGTCGGTTTATCACCGCAGCACTTGCGATGTAGTGCTGCATCAGTTAACCGATTAATGATTGATAATTAAGATTATGACATATGCATAACATCACATGTTTGAGAATCTGCGATGAATCTTTGCTGGTTGTGGCTGGTAAGGAATTTGCGTAACCCCTGCAGTGAGTAGAGGCCACTCACATTGACCACGATACTAAATAATCATGGAATCTTGAATACGATTCTGATCCTGGATTATGCGTGGCGCCAGTGAATCGTTAACCCTCCAGCTATGTTCGAGCCTACATGACGGGTGCTTTACAGACCTATTCCTCGAGTGGGTACAAAATGCCGTTGTGTCCGTGCGTCGTTTCAATGCGCGCTACCCAGCGCCATGTGGGTCCCATTACCACGCGCTCCCCGCCCTGTGGCTAGTGACTCCGTTGAGCAAAGCGGGACCCTGGTAACCGTCGCTAACGTCACTCGTGAATTGCATTTTCTTTTTTCCCCCCCCTGGAATCAGCTCTGGATCGAGGAGCGGATGCCACTCGCGACGTCTTCCGACCACGGGAATAACCTGCAAACGACGCAGCTCCTCATCAAGAAGAACGAGGTAGGGTGGCTCTTCGCTCCTTCTCTGTGGGATCTGCAGGGGCGTCATCCCACCGTGCCATTGGCAGCGATGGAGAAGAGGCGTGTGTCGTTTTTAATGCTGTGTAGAGGGACAATTATATTTTGATGTATATACGTGCGATTGGAAAGGCACCTCCAATTAGCTCCCGCACCTCCCATTAGCATGGTTGGCTACGTATGGTGCGAAATAAGTTCAACATACGTACATACAGTTCAACATATATTCATACGTGTCACCTTGCAACGCTGCACGTTGTGTTCATTTACCGTGCATTTTTAATCCAATAATGATTCTGCTCCATGCCACTCCATCGACTAGAAGTCTTGAGTGCGCGTCCTGTGGACCGTACAAGCGGTGCCAGGCTGGGCACTTTTGCGCGCACTGCTGCGCCACTAAAGCAGTCGGTCAGCTGACAACCAACGCCGATGAGTGGCAGAAGAAGCGAGACGCTTGCCGCTGCCTCTCCAGAAATGGGTCGCAACGCACTCTCCGGCAGAGCAAACGGCCATTTACGACGAGCATTTCTGCCAGCATTTTTGGATAACTCATAAACAAATCCCATTCCAGTGCCAGATACCACAGACGTCCTTTGAGAGAGGGCATCCCGACCCCCGTGAGGTTCCCGCCGCCGTGACGGTGACCAGCGAGCGACGCGACGAAGCCGACACGGCGTGTGTGCCTTGCAGACCCTGCAGAAGGAGACGGAGGGCCACCGTCCGCGCATGGAGGAGGTGTACCAGCGGGGGAAGGCGCTGCTGGCCCGCGGGGTGGTGCCGCCCAGCGGCGGCGACCGCCTGGAGGGGTTGAAGGCGACGTGGACCCGCCTCGGGCAAGAGGTGGACAAGCGGCGGGGACGGCTGGAGGCGGCCCTGCGGGCTCACCAGTTCTACTGCGATGCGGCTCAGGCCGAGGCCTGGATGGACGAGCAGGAGCTGCACATGATCACCCAGGAGAAGGCCAAGGTGGGGGTTGTTGTCAGCCTCGCTTGTCGCGACGGCGGTGTGATGCGCCGCTCAATATTACGGCGATATTAATACCGTGGTCGGTGATCATGATGATGATGGTAATAATAATGCTTTTTTCCGAGGGACAAACCTTACTGAGGGTCATCAAGACTTCCTCTTTGAGGAAGGTTTATAGAAAACTTGCGCGTGACGTCACCAGGGCCTAGAGGTTGGTACCGTGCGCTTTGAGACAGTTGGCAGACAGTAGAGGGTATAGAGAGAGAGACATGGTTGCTATGGTTACTGAATGGTCGTGTTTGTTGTTGCTTCCGAATTTTTTTTTTAACAAGGACTTAAATAGTCGAATGTACTTACTCGTCGTCACGAGACCATCCAGATGCAGCTACGTTTTAGTGAGTTGCCGGGGAAGGAAGAAAGAAAGAAAAAAATAAAAGACATTGGGACTTAGACGAGTGCAACCCTGTGCGATTGTTACACACGGTGACCCACGAAGACAGAGGGGTGACAGCGGTGAGTGGAGCGTGGCTTCAACAGGGGTTGTTGTTTGTGCGCAGGACGAGGCGAGCGCGACGGCGCAGCTCGCGCGCTGCGACCAGCTGGAGCGCGCCGTTGGGGACTACGGCGACGCCGTGCGCCGCCTTGGGGATGGCGCGCGGGCCATGGTGGACGCCGCACACCCCGACAGGTGGAGCAGCAGCGCGTCCACCGAACCGTCCATTCCCTGCGGCCGGCAAACGGCGTGAACTTCCACCCCCTCTCCGCCGACCCTCCTCTTTGTATCTGTAGCCATCCGCACGTCCGATTAGCACGGTCGGCTACGTACGGTGCGGAAGAGGTTCAACGTACACACATGCATCGTCCGTGTTGTCCGCAGCTTTGTCGTTTGTTGTATCCGCAATAAGGGTTGCACTGGATAGGAAGCGTGCAGGATGGAGGAGGGCCTGATACTGAGACGGGCTCGCCGCGCATTTGGCGACCGAGCGGAGAAACCTAGGAGCAGAGGGTGGGAGGCTGCCAGGGCAGTTCTATGGGTCTCTGCGAGTCTGTGGGTCTCTGGTGCTAGTCTGTGAGTCTCTGCGTAAGTGTATAGGTAGCTGTGGGAGTCTACAGGTCTCTCACGTGAGTAGAAAGCCAGATAGTGTGAGACTGTCAGGGCGGGTGTTTGAGGTCGCCTCATGTCGACTGCATCAGCCGCTGTGGGGTCTTGGTGGAGGGGAGAAAGCGCTGACGTGTGCAGCTGGCGTCGGTGGCTTTGGCCAGGGTGACCCCTGACCTCATCTCTGTTGGCCACAGGCAGGGGGGGGGGGGGGGCGTCACGCCGGATGGCAGCCTTTTCTTGTGGGCTCGGAAAACCACACCGGAAGATTCCAACAACAGGCTACAACAGAAAATCCGCGAAGAGCCATTCCGGATCGGCGGAACCACATGAAAGTGGCCGGCACGAAGGGGGAAGGATTAGGGCCCTCCCCTGCCCCAGCCAAGTGGGGACCTCGTGCAGGCGACAACGACTGGCAGCCTTTTAATGAAGCCCAAACACAAACTTGTGCCGTCATTCTCTCGGTGACAAACCCCCCCACCCACAGGGAGTTACCGGCCACTCGAGTCGCACCGCGACCCGAATGGGAATTTCATCATCGGCTTCACCGCTTAGCTCACGCGCAGGTCACCCAAATTCTGCACGGAACATATCGGCCGTGGCTATACCGTAGGTCCACATTTTGCACCAATCAAGTTGATTGGTTCTTTCGGTAAAGTCACGTGACTTTCCCGAAAGAACCATGGAATATTAATTCCTGCAGTCACGAAAGTTCTAAGTCAGGTTGATTTTTTTGAGACGTTTCTTCTTCACGCAGTCACGGCTACATGCCCAGCTTTGGCAGTGTGCTCTCCATCTCAAAGTTCCACACATTGTATATTGGTTTTATATGTATGGAAATGTTTGAATCGAAATTGTTTTCCATTGAGCTCCGCCATTCTTGGAGACCCATAATATCCGAAGCAGAAAGCATGGCCATATATCAACAACAACAACAGCCGCGATTCGCCACCAAGTGGCGGTGATGTCACCACCCAGGTGCTTGGGTTGCCTGACTGAGATGACTGGCTGATGCACCACCTGTGCCACCTACTGTGCCAACTTATCATAGAATATCATACACGTGTACATATGCGTAAGCTATTCACGCATATCAATGGCTCACATTAACTAATCTGATTTAGTGGTGGTGTGGTGGTGGTGGTGGTGATGTGTTGGCAGTGGTGGTGATTTCGTGGCATTGGGTGGTGTTGTTGCGGTATTGGTGGTAATGTCGTGGCGGTGGGGGTGGTGATGTGGTGGCAGTGCCGGTTGGTAACGTGGCCGCGGCGGCGGCGACGACGGTGGTAACGCACCGGCCGGCGGTTGGTCTGCGCGTTTCAGCGAGCAGATCAGAAGCAAGCAGTCGCAGGTGGAGCGGCTGTACCGCAGTCTGCAGGAGCTGGTGCAGGAGAGGCACGTCGGGGCGGGGGGGCTGTGCAGGCTCTTCCACCTGCAGCGGGAGGTGGAGGACCTGCAGCAGTGGATCTCTGAGAAGGAGGTGCTCGCCGTCTCCCCGGAGCTGGGCCAGGACTACGAGCACGTGACGGTACGTCGGCGCACAGCACGCGCTGCTGCCTCTGTGGCTCCCTGTGTTCACGCAGTCTAAAAGTAAATAGGCTATTTTATTTAACCAGGTCGGGCTCTCTGAGCTTCATACAGCTCTTTTCACAAGCGACCAGGCTATCACAAATGATAGCTCAACGAAGTGGCTTGTCATTGTGTGGAAATTGACAGCAACCAGATACTCTGAATGTACGTTTATTATAAATGTGGAGGGACAAATTAGAGATCCCGGAGAAAAATATACGCGACCACGGGGAGAACGTGCAAACTCCAAACATGCAGGCGTCAGGGTCGGGATCGAACCCACGACCACCCGTACACCAGGCGAGGTGGTTAACGTCTCCTCGCCACTGCGGCGCCCTCCGTGTCCAGGGCTGGCAGTGTGCTTGCCCATCTCACAGCTCCTCGCTATACAGCCACGTGTCTTGAAGGGGCACGTTTTGAGCTCCATAATTGAACCTCATGGCGGGACCCCGGAGTCCCATAAGTCCCCCGGCTCTCGCAGAAACATTATATTACAATGTAAACATTATATATTATATATAATGTAAACATTATATTACAATGTAAACATATATTATATTATATAATGTAAACATTATATTACAATGTAAACATATATATTATATAATGTAAACATATTACAATGTAAACATATTATATATTATATAATGTAAACATTATATTATATAATGTAAACATTATATTACAATGTAAACATATTATATATTATATATATAATGTAAACATATTACAATGTAAATATATATATATAATATGTAAACATTATATTACAATGTAAACATTATGTTATATATTATATATAATGTAAACATTATATTACAATGTAAACATATTATAAATATTATATATAATGTAAACATTATATTACAATGTAAACATATATTATATATAATGTAAACATTATATTACAATGTAAACATTATATTATATATAATGTAAACATTATATTACAATGTAAACATATATTATATATAATGTAAACATATTACAATGTAAATATTATATTATATATAATGTAAACATATTACAATGTAAACATTATATTATATATAATGTAAACATATTACAATGTAAACATTATATTATATATATATATTATATATAATGTAAACATTATATTACAATGTAAACATATTATATATTATATATAAAGTAAACATTATATTACAATGTAAACAAAAACTTTGCTCTTCTTCACCACTGAGTGTGAAGGATGGTGGCAAGTGTTGTCTTGTTAAACTATGCCTTTACAACTGAAAACTACTTAGCTGAAGTACCTCTATTTAAATGCACTAGAGAACAAATAATTTACACCCCTCTATCAATCATCGTGTTTCTCAGTGTGGATTTGTGAACACACTTTGTAAAGAGTACGTAAAATAGTAAGCGTTTTCAATGCGCTGTTCATATTGTAACAAGTGTTTATACCAATGCTACTCTACAGAGTAGTGGGTCACCGCTCCTCATATCCGCATTGATACGAGCGGTATGTGGGGACTATGGCTTAACCGCAAAAAAAAAACCTATCTGCACAGATGCATATGGACAAGAGACGTATTATCAAACAGGTAATAGGATTGTCATCGATTGATCCTGCCTGCAGACATTGGAAGGTCACAAATAATAATGAAGATAAGAGAGCAGTTTCACTGTATTATGACAACAGAATGATCCGCGGCAGGTGGGTTTATATGCGCGGTGGGACGGAGTCGCCAAAAATAAATACATCGATTTTCACTTACGTTTATTCGAGACCCCGGGGTCCTGCCATAAGGTTCAATTGTTACACTCATGTGGCACGACTTAAAATGGCCGCCATCTAAATTTTTCCTCGTTGTGGCAATAGTTTAAGTTGGGTTAGTTTATAAGGTCTCCCCTCCCCCCACCCCTATTTGTATGTACACGTGTATGTAAATGGGCGGTCAATTTCGATTTCGGCCAGTAGGTAGCTGAGCGGGACTGAAGCATGTCAGCCACGTGGACAATGGAGGCCTGGGGCAGGCCCTACTCAGTGTGATGTACATGTCGTTTCGTTTTACAGAGATTCTTAAATAATCGTGTTGCCATCGATCTGGAGCCCCGCATATCTTCCTTTCGAACGGCATGCAGTGTCATCCGTTTTAGCATCACCGACACACGTGGAAATACGGGTTTTGCATCATCTTACTGGGCTCTAAAATGCAGCATAATAGCTACACCATTGCCCACAGTGAACTACACATACACTCACTCCTCGTCTTACTGAAGGTGACCTAAATGTTTTCTACTCGGGCTACCACCTCTTCTACTGTAGACCAAACCCAGACATATTTCTCAATCAGACAGCTCTCTTCACTGTCTTACGGTGTTGACGTTCCACACAATACCACTGCCAAATCTCGGTGCAAAATCGATTCCTGCTGCCACCACGCAAATTTCTGAGAAACATTTCTAGCAATGGCCGTTCTTCATTGCACATCATCAGTGTGGCTACGCACAAGAGCCAGTATCGTAAAATCTGACCTATTGTATGTTCTTTTAAGGCCATGGCAATGATGTTTTTCAGTAAAAGTAGAGTTGCCACCTGTCCACATTTGACCAGGACAAGGAATTGATTTGTGTGCTTAGATTTGTGTTTGTGTTGTTAACTGTGGTTGTGCATCGCTGCCAATGCAGTGGCAGCCACATCACGGAGCGATTGTTCACTTTACGCAGCACTCGTGAGGTGGCTAGGAGACGTTAACTACCTCGCCTGGTATGCAGGAGGTCGTGGGTTCGATCCCGACCCTGACGCCTGTTGTATATTTGGAGAATGCGTGTGCCTTTCTCTCATCATCATCACGGTGGCTCGGAGACGTTAACTACCTCGCCTGGTATGCAGGAGGTCGTGGGTTCGATCCCGACCTTGACGCCTGTTGTATATTTGGAGAATGCGTGTGCCTTTCTCTCATCATCATCACGGTGGCTAGGAGACGTTAACTACCTCGCCTGGTATGCAGGAGGTCGTGGGTTCGATCCCGACCCTGACGCCTGTTGTGTTTTCTCTCCCTTTAGTCAGGTGGATTTTACTCCGTGTTTTTCCCTCCACATTTAGAATAAACATGCATTTAGAGTACTTGGCTGCTATAAGTTTCCACTTGAAAAGCCACTTCGCTGAGCAATCAATTGTGGCCAGGTTGCTTCTGAAAAACAGCTTTGTAGCTCAGTGGGGCCGTACCTAGTGAAATACAAAGTGGTTTCGTATTATTTTTAAACAAGTCGTTGTATCGGCGACGTGCATGTTCTGCTCGCTCAGATGCTGCAGGAGAAGTTCACGGAGCTGGCCCGAGACACGGAGGGCATCGGGCAGGAGCGCGTCGACGCCTTCGGCAAAGCGGCCGACGAGCTGCTGCGCGAGGGCCACCCTGACTCGCCCACCGTGCGCCAGTGGAAGGCCTCGCTCGACGCGTCGTGGCGCAAGCTGCTCGAGAAGATGGCCACGCGCAAGCGGGGCCTGGCGGGCTCGGCACGGATTCACAAGCTGCTGCACGACGCGCGGGAGCTGCAGGGCCGCGTGCAAGAGAAGCGAGCGCAGATCCCCGAGGAGTCGGGCCGGGACCTCAACCACGTGGCATCGCTGCAGCGCATGCACTCGGCGCTGGAGCATGACCTGCTGGCGCTCGGAGCACAGGTAGCTAGGAGCGCGGGTAGCTAGGAGAGCGGGTAGCTAGGAGTGTGGGTAGCTAGGAGTGTGGGTAGCTAGGAGCGCAGGTAGCTAGGAGTGGGGGTAGCTAGGAGCGCGGGTAGCTAGGAGAGCGGGTAGCTAGGAGCGTGGGTAGCTTGGAGTGCGGGTAGCTAGGAGTGCGGGTAGCTAGGAGTGTGGGTAGTTAGGAGAGCGGGTAGCTAGGAGCGTGGGTAGCTAGGAGTGTGGGTAGCTAGGAGTGCGGGTAGCTAGGAGTGTGGGTAGCTAGGAACGTGGGTAGCTAGGAGCGTGGGTAGCTAGGAGTGTGGGTAGCTAGGAGTGTGGGTAGCTAGGAGTGTGGGTAGCTAGGAGTGTGGGTAGCTAGGAGAGCGGGTAGCTAGGAGCGTGGGTAGCTAGGAGCGTGGGTAGCTAGGAGTGTGGGTAGCTAGGAGTGCGGGTAGCTAGGAGTGTGGGTAGCTAGGAGTGCGGGCAGCTAGGAGAGTGGGTAGCTAGGAGTGCGGTTAGCTAGGAGTGTGGGTAGCTAGGAGTGCGGGCAGCTAGGAGAGCGGGTAGCTAGGAGTGTGGGTAGCTAGGAATGGGGGTAGCTAGGAGTGTGGGTAGCTAGGAGTGTGGGTAGCTAGGAGTGCGGGTAGCTAGGAGTGCAGGTAGCTAGGAGAGCGGGTAGCTAGGAGTGTGGGTAGCTAGGAGCGTGGGTAGCTAGGAGTGCGAGTAGCTAGGAGCATGAGTAGCTAGGAGTGTGGGTAGCTAGGAGTGTGGGTAGCTAGGAGTGTGGGTAGCTAGGAGCGTGGGTAGCTAGGAGTGTGGGTAGCTAGGAGCGCGGGTAGCGTCCCACTCGCCAGCTTCCCCACGAGGGGTTCCGTTGACTTGCGGCGCTGTGCTGGAGGAGTGGCCGTGCGAGTTGCGGTGAAACGGCCGAAGCAAATTCCGTAGACCTTTTTAGGCTGTCGTAGAGCGTTTGTTTTTACTTACTGCACAGTTGGTGGGCACAGGTCCAATGGACCAAAATGGTGAAGCAGCATGGAACAAACGGGGCTTTCAAAGTTGTAATGGATAAGAGTTGACACTCATCTCTTGAAATTCAGCAAGGTTATTACAAGAGTTTGGGACAAGAGGAAATGGGAAGGAATGCCAAAGTTGAGCAGTGCGAAGAGGACGAGGGAGCCGTGGGGATCATTCTTGGTCCCCTTTCCCTGGAGGCAAAAAACTGCACGCGTCAGCGGCTTGGCCCACTTCCACAAAGTCACCTCGGTGCAACAAGATGCGAGACAGACGACACCAGACCAAAAAAAATTCAACTCTTCATTTCAAGTCACGTCCTGAATTGTGACAATTCGTGCAGTTACGTGGGCCGAGGGTGGATTGTTACGAGCCTCATCAACTGGGCTGAATTGCGAGTGACCCTTACTAAGCCGGGCGTAGGAGCTTGCCCTTCCGTGTTCTTGTGCCCCCATCTCAGTTGAGGTGATATTGGGCACTTGCACATCAACACAGCAGCTTCTAAAATTGAGGCTTTTGTTGGGTTAGATCGCGTAAATATAAATACGTCGTTATACCCGCCACCACCACCCGATACAGCAAATTAGTAAGGTTTGTCACGTAAACATGAAACATTCCACTTAGTTACTAGTTCAGCACTCACTGATGCTTTGGAGAGTAAACCCACAACAACATTTACAATTGGCGGCTTCTGCCCTTTTTCTCATTTCAGGTGCAGCAGCTGCGCGAGGAGTGCTCTCTGCTGTTGAGCGGCGACATCGGAGACAAGGCGCCCGAGGTCCGCAGGCAGGAGGAGAAGGTGGTGGCCTCGTGGACCGCCCTGCAGGAGGCCTGCAAGGCCCACCGGTTGAGCCTCGCCCAGGCCAGCGAGAGGTTCCACTTCTTCAGCCTGGTGCGCGACCTCATGCTGTGGATGGAGACAATCATCCGACAGATCAAGGCCCAGGACACCCCCAGGTGCGAGGGCTTTAGCGCCTTGCTGCCTGCGCCGCACGTCTCTCTGCGTGAATTCTGCCGCGTGAGGGAGGGAGGCCGGCCAAGTGGCTCGGTGGGTGGAGCGAGTGGCTCGTGGTGGCAAGGCTTGCGAGTTTCAAATCCCGCTTGGGGGTTTGGCTCGGTCTCTCATCCCCCTCTCAGGGGCCATTAAAATAACGTACCGCCTTGTGGGGAAACCGACGGTGGTTGCCCTATGGACATACTCGCCCCTGCCGTAGGAACGCAGAATTTCCACCACTGGCTCAAGGTTGTAAACGGGAGGTGAGCAGACAAAGCCTCATTGCTCATTTGAGCAGGAGAGCTCTTTCCCGTATAACTAAATTAAAGTCAAGTTTCTCTCAGTCCTCAAACCAACATTTGGGAGGCACTCAGCCCCATCTGTGTGGGTTTGAGTCAGCGGTGAAAATTCCACGTTTCTGTGGCAGGGACCAGTTTATCTACAGAACAAAACACTTTCAAACTTCCACCACATGGTAACTAATTTGATCAACCCCAGAGAGACTGAGGAATGAGTCAACCCCCGACTTGGAATTGTGGAACGACAGCGCCACCTCAGGTCGGGCATCCAAATCAGACGGTTGTGAGGTCAAATCCCAGTGGGGAGATCGCTCAGCCTGGCAGCTCACTAGGATTGATAATAATGCGTGTGACTTTGTGGAAAGTCAACACTCATCACGCTGTGGGATGTCTGGCCCCTTCCATGTGAATGTGGAATTTAAATGACTTCTCTAAGGGCCGGCAACCAAGATGAGCTGAACCCCACTGCTCGCTGTAGCAGGGAGGTAATCTGCGCGTTTTACTGGCCACCTTTATTAATTTAATTTTTGGTCTTTCACAATTCAGATTAAAAACAAGTAAGTAATATACGCCCACGATTCCTAATGTGAGGGACAAAGCGAACCCCTGCCCCCCCAAATATAGAAGTCACACTCCACCTATGATCAAAGTATAGAGTACAATGTACATTCTTGCGTATTTTTTCTCAATTATAAAAATCCGTGAGAGTTAATACCGTATTCTCCATGTTATAAGACGCTCCGAAAGATAAGATGCACACCAACCTTGTGCCCGATGTCAATAAAGGTATACAAAGCTGGTCTCACACACACCCCTACCAGATTATAAGACGACCACCCACAACCTTTTTCTTTAAAATACAAGGGGGGGGGGGGGGGATGTGTCTTGTAATCTGGAAAATATATGGTATGGTTGTGTTTCAAGGTGGTCAGGGTGAAACCTACAACACCATAAGTGCCCTTTCTTCACGTGTACGTGCACAGCTGTTTAATTACTTGGATACCAACCGTGTGTGGCCATTCCCAGTTGCTGCGACGAGTGATTCCCGGGCTGTCATTCGTGACGTTTAAGCCAGACTTGGAAAACTCTCGCGGGCGGAACTGTGGCGAGGAGGTGCTGCCCAGGGTCTCTCCCGAGTTGTTGTTCCTGATGCAGGGCCCTCTGCAGGCCTGAGCGTCGCCGTGGACCCTCGTGAGCGGCGCTCTTGTGTTGACGACAGGGACGTGTCTGCGGTGGAGCTGCTCATGAACTACCACCAGGGAATCAAGGCGGAGGTGGAGGCCCGCGACGATAACTTCGCGGCCTGCATTGACCTGGGAAAATCGCTCATCGCGAGGAATCACGACGCCGCACAAGAGGTGGAGGCCCGCGAGCCGTTTCGCAGATTGGCCTCGCGTTGAGCACGCAGGCCGTCAAAGCCCAAATAGACGTCGTGCCTTGCAAAAAAAGTCACAGTTCTTCAAACGTTAGGTGCTGGCTCGTGTCTATTGGCAGTCACAGGTCATGAGTAGAAATTCACGTTCGTCTGGCAGGGAACCGCTGTTGATTTCCCACACGGTGATACTTTTTTTTTTATCAACCCCAAAGAAAAATCATGAGCAGAGCAATTCCTCCGCCGGGATTTGTTCTTGTGACCTTTCTGATCGTGAGCTAGGTGCTCTGCCGCGGGTGTGCTTCTGCGGACACCAATCTAAACAAGTTAGGCAGCCCTTGTGAAGCGCTGCATCGCGGAGAGAGCAGTGGTATGTGGCAGTGTCGTCTCATCGACTGATCACCTTCGACCAGTGGCTCCTCAAGGCCGGGTGGAAGTGGTCCGTGGGACTCGTTGCGCCCAGGACGATTCGGTTTTTTTTGTTGTTCACAGAACACCGTGCGGCATCGGCCATCCCATCAACGTTACGAGTCAATGCCAAGAGAGTTGAAACATTTTTCTGGGTGCTTGATTAACATTTTGCAGCGCATTTCGAGTGACTTTAACCTTGAGAGAGGCGTTATGGGTGCACGGTGGTGAGAATGAAAAAAAAAATGTTGACGCGGGAAAATTGCAAACCGCTGCTTCGTACTAAAGTTTTACAGAGTATGAAACTGTTACAACTGTTTCGCTCAGCCTCGTCGACTTATCCTTTACCGTCTGTATAGATATATAACGTAACCTTTGTTTTTGCTTTAGATTAAGGAAAAGCTGGAGCAGCTGAACGAGAAGCGACGGACCATGCTGGACATGTGGGATAATCGTTGGGACTGGCTGCAGATCTGTGAGTATCCCACATGTACCTGGGGTAGCTCTGGACGTATGTGCAATGTACTTGCTGCTGATGTTTTTTCAGGACTTGGCTCTATGTAGGTACCCGCTGTTACCTGAGAACTGGCTTCAGAAACACAGTCATACCCCAGATTATGTCGGGGATGCGTTCATGAAAGGTGCAATGACGAATATCAAAACGACGTCAAAGCGATTTACAGGGCAGGTGGTGGTGTGGGCGAAGGCTGAGAAGCGACGGGCACGAGAAAGGTTGGACGATGCTGTCAGCAACGTAAGCGTGCTGGATGACAGGATGCAAATCGAGTCGTGGCGGTCTTAATCATGAAGTGGCGACGTATTTGCGAAACGACGTAAATCGGGGTGTTACTGTGTAGCTCAGAAGTGGTGTCATCGCCTCCCCATGCGGTAGCCTCCCCGTGGCCATCTGTAGCTCTCGTAGCCCTCCGCTGACCTAAGTCAGTGTGCAGTCACCAGCAATGTACGACACTGTTTGCACAGTGCCACAGCTGCAGTGTGGCTTGTCGTGAAGATCCCAACGGTGGAGGTTAGCTGCACAAAGTAAACTAAACTAAACGATTTTATTTTACCAGGTAAAGCCCACTGAGTTATTTCACTCTTTTTTCAGAAGTGACCTGGCCACAAATGGCAGCTCAGCGAAGTGGCTTTTCACGTGGAAAGCGATAGCAGCCAAATACTCTAAACGCGTGACGTTGATTCTAAATGTGGAGGCAAAACCCGGAGAAACGCGGACAAAAATCCACGCGACCACGAGGAGAGAGAGAAAGAGACACGCAAACTCAATATACTGGCGTCGTCAGGGTCATGATCAAACCCACGACCTCCAGTATACCATGCGAGGTAGTTGACATCTCGCCATCAGAACCTCTCCAGTAAGGCCCACTGGCGGCATGGCAGGGTGAAGCCAGCTGGCCAGACTCTAGGATCCGTGATGAGGAACCGGTCGTGGTGCTGCTGTTGCTCTCTGCCAGCCGACCTCTGCCAAGCAGTCCGGGTATGGCTCTTAGGACAGCAGTGGGCGTCGTGATGGAAATTGAAGACTTTGTGGACTTTGTAAATAAGGGGGGCTAATGCCACTGCTGGGTAACGATACAATTCCAAACTTGCCGACTTGACAAATTGTAGTGCCATTTGTTTGGGAATAAAAAAAAACATTTTACTTAATATAACTCCCTTCGTGTGAACGAAACCCAGGTCACGCTTGCAAATGAGACTAACCTCTGTCTCTGGGTTCTCACCTGGCTAAACAAAATAAACTTGAACCTCTTATGCATTCCTATAATTGCGCAGCCTATTCGTCGTGCTGCTCACCGTAAGGAGAATCATTCTTGAGACCGTCCTCCTTCGCACGCGACAAGCGACTTGTATCACACCACACCTCGTCATCTCAACACATTCGAAAGGGGACCCCCAGTGGCAGCTGTCCCGATGTGGTCACGAAGCAAACTAAAAATCTGGCCAGCAACAGTTGTTAACCTGCCATCAGGGAGCAATGACTGTTGCGTGTGTAACACCAATTGACTTCATTTGCGGGCTTTCTTGCGAATTTGGAAAATGTGGACGATGACACCGGCACACGGTGCCCTTTATCGCTAACGTCCGCTGCGAGCGAAGAAGATGCAACGCATAGCATTGTACGGTTAATACCACACCGCAGTAATGACCAGGGCGGCCTGCCGGATGGAACCGTGAACTTTATCAACAAGCGGCGAACGCGATCCCGCCGGGCCACGCCAAATCGCCTCCGTGGTCTTCAGGACAATCAAAAGAACGTGCAATCTGGTTTCCACCAAGGTCGTTGCGGATGCAGATCTCCTTTGCGTTATCAATGTGTAGTGACATCGCGGGATGTCACTGTGCTGTGCCGGCCCGAGAGAGGCACGGTGTGTGATGTAACGACATAGCGGACACCACAATGGTGTGAGTGTAGTACCGACCCTAGAGGGGCTCGGTGAGCGCTGGGTGATAGCGCTGGGTGGGACCACGCTTGGCGTGCAGTGCCAGCCCTACAGGATAGGGTGTGGGAGTGCCGGGGTTACTAAAGGCACTCTGGTTGACCCGAGAGGACACGTGACCGGTTAACTCTACGAAGGGTCTCCAAGTGGGAGCTAGGGGTGGTCACGTGGTTAGCATTCAGATCCTGCTCGGGGGTTCTGGAAGGTGGTCGTGGCCAAGGGCGGAGCCAGCCACGCCGCAGAGAATATAAGCCGGGTCCCCGAGAGGGACCGGCGTTGTTGTTCATCCTGAAGAAGCCTTCGTCGACGTTCTACAGAGTCTCCAACACGTGGACCTGCCCCAAACTGTGGTCCGGTCCGTTGTAGCTCGTTACGGTGTAATTAGTGGTTAGCCTGGTGGTCACCACCCTGTTAACTACACTAGTTACGGTGTAATTAGTGTAGTTAGCCTGGTGGTGACTGCCCGGTTAACTACACTAGTTACGGTGTAATTAGTGTAGTTAGCCTGGTGGTCACCACCCGGTTAACTACACTAGTTACGTTGTAATTAGTGTAGTTAGCCGCTTCCAGTGTTCCTGATCTCTAAATAACACGTGTGCGCGCCGTCGGTGCGTCCGTTCCTGCCGTTCCCACAGTGATCGAGGTGTGCCAGTTTGCGAGGGATTCGAACGTGGCGGAGGCCTGGCTGGTGATGCAGGAGGCGTGCCTCTCCACCACGGAGCTGGGCGACAGCGTGGACGCCGTGGAGAAGCTGCTGAAGCGGCACGAGGCGCTGGAGAAGCTGGCCTCCACCTGGGAGGAGCGCTTCTCACTTCTCGAGCGGCCCACCTCGGTAATGGCGCCGTTCGTGCCGTTGGGGCTCACCTGCGGTCGTTCCTGGGACGCCCAGTTCAGGAATGGGGCCGGGTGGTTCAGGGGATGAGCGGGCGGCCCTCAATGGGTATGTTATGGGTTCAAATCCGGGTTTTTGGGGGGGGAGTTGACTCATCCCATCATCCCTCCCTCCGAGGGTCGATACAACGAGTATACTGCTTTGTGAGGAAGACAATGGAGGTTGTTATATGGATAGACTCACCCCGCCATAGGAATGAGGAATTCCCACCTCTGCTTCAGGGACTCCATTTCGTTTTGTAAGAGTGATCTCGTTTGTAATTACAAAAATTGTTGCTATATTGGCCTAACCTCCTGACTGTTATATGGGCAAGCACTTGAGTACCTGATGTATTGAGGTTGCGGTGCAAGTGTTGGTGTTTATATCAGCTGGTGGCGGTGCGCACGGACTTGCGTACGTAACACAAGAAGAGCACGTGAATATGGTTACACTAACTGTATAATGGGTTACGTGGAGTATAATAGTAATGACGACGATGATAATAATAATAGTGATAACTGTAATAGCAGCAGAGCGGTGCTGCTGCTGCTGCTGAGTAAGGGTCGCACGAAGCCACCAGGCAGAACCCAGCTGCAGGTCCGCGCGCGACGCACCGAGTCCTCGGTAATAGCGAACTTCATGTTCTACGTCGTGCGGAGGAGGCTCTCAATGGAGAGAGGGGGGCTGCTGGCTGCAGGACCCCTCTGCTGCGCTCGTGAACACCCACGTGCGTGGGGGGGGGGTGCAGCATTCGTCACGGCATTCCTCTCTCGCCCCCCCGCCCCCCCGCGCAGTTGGAGATCCGGGAGTTCCGCCGCCGCGATGAGTTTGGCAGCCAGGACTCGCTGCACAGCAACCACGGCGTTGCGCTGCACAACGGAGCCGGACAGTCGGCCATGTGAGTTCGGGGGGGGCGGGGGGGGTCCCTCTCGGTGCCCGTGTTAGATCTTTGTGGGGGGGGGGGGCACGCGGCGGTGGGGGAGGGGGAGGTTTGGAACGAGTCACGGACTGCTTCGTTTGAAACAAGTAGAGAAAACGTTCTCAAGGTTTCACTGTCGCCATATGCAGCACGGCCTGTGCCGTGTGAGCAGCTAAGAGGAAAGTGGAGACGTGAAGACCACCGTACAGCAGTGGGTGTTGTATGAATCCAGACAGTCCTCGGGTTACGGAAGGGTTAGGTTCCCGAGAAGCATCCGTAACCCGAATTTTTCGTATGTCGGAAACTGAACAATTTTCCCCCAAAACCTAAATTCCATTTACCTTAATCCGAGTGAAGCTCCGGTGAGAGGCGTAAGGCGAACCCACCTGACGCCTCGCTCCGCGGTATTCATCCGCGACCTCACCACGCTGCACTACTTTCGCTTACGTAATTAACGCAAACATTTCCGCATGCGGAATTTTTTAAACACGGTTTATGGGAGCATTTCCGTAAGGTCGGATTTCCCTAAGGTCGGGTCTTCCACAACCCGGGGAATGTCTGTACACGTAAATAACGGTCAGGGCCGTTAGTTCAGCATTCAGACGTGACACTGTCGCAATGCCTATTGAGTGGGCGCCTCCGTGGGTGAACTTCAGCGTAGCTTCTGTGACTATGCCGATGTTCGTTCATCTCCGTACATCTTTCTTCTATGGCTTGAGAATCTATCTCTGTTCGAGACTAAATTCATTTCTCTCTCACCCTCATTCTACCTCATATCTCTGAGGAATTAATCTCATATCTCTATTCTCATTATAATCTGATAAATGCCTCCTGTCACACTCCCATCGCTTTTTAACCTTTCTCAAACTGGACACCTTTATTCATTTATTTTCGCTAGTTTACAATTAGATACAAAAAATATATTCCGAATGTGAGGGACAAAGCGATCCCCTGCCCCCCCCCCTCCCCCTCCCAAATATAGAAGTCAAACTCGTACGTCGTAGTAATATTTAACTTGATCATTACTGACGATTTAAAAAAGGGGGCTTCATCTGCACCAACCACTGATGGCCGCCGTGATGTCTCCGCAGGGCTTCCGAAACCGACGCCCGCGGCGATCTCCCACCGTACAACGGCTTCTCAAACAGCTCGCCGCTCGACTCGCCGAGGCTGGGCTATCGCTCACAAACCTACCAGAACTACCGGCCCAAGCGCCGGGGCACCTTAGAGCCAGCAAAGTCGCACGGCGTCGCGCAAGACTGAAGGCGGCTTTCCGCATCAGAAGCCCTTCACCGGTTGGCTTTCATTTGATTTTAGTGAAATGAAATCAAATGTACGGCAGCAGACTGTTGCGGGTTTGTGTAGCCTGTTCCCCTCGGTAAACGAGCGTTCCACGTGGAGCGTTCTGACGATGACAGCGCAGTCCCGACCCGTGCCGTAACCGCGTCTGCCGATCACACGGTGGATATCACGCAACGTCCTTGGCAGGAGGAGTCATTTAACGCGGCACGTTTCCTCTGCACGAGACACCCAAGCATTGGTGTCCTTAATTTAAAACGTACCTTTCGCATGAAATTGTACAGAACGGTTCTGAATTACCCGACGTAGTACTTAAGAATCGGTGTCGCCGTGCGAGAGCAACTCATTGACCCCTTGAGCACAAGCCACCGTGAAGTCAGACAGGTGAAAATGGAAGCGCACGAATTTTGGTCAAAACTACAATTTCTCAACGGCGGGAATGAGGGATTTTAACGTTGGCACTCGCCCCGTGTGCGACAGTTAACGCGAGTGAAATTCTGCAGCTTGACAGAATTCTCTAGGTCATCACATCAATGATACCATTGATCCCCAAGGGGTACGGACCTACTCCATGGTTCACCATTCTGAGACGTGACCACAGCGGCCACCTAATGCCTCAATGCATCCTCCTGCCTCGGTGCACGGCGGGGAGGGGGGTGGTTGTTGGCACGATGGCTTTTAACAAATGCAGTTTTGCACAGGTGAGGGTTTCGTGTGGATGCAGGTGCCGGGTTGGTGAGCGGTAGGGATTGCAACGATCCATTGATGAATCGATCGACTTTGATTCTTGAGCTTGTGGCGAGAGATAACATCCATCGAATCGTCTATAAGAATCTACATTTCCTATATTTTTTAATTGGTAAAAAAGATTCTCGAATAGACTCATCGCTGGGGACGTTGGAGGGGTGGAGTGGGGTTGGCAAATGGGGACAGGGATGGTGAATTGATGAATCGTTGCACCCACAAGTGGTGAATGGACACGCGCGCGTTGCTGTCCTTGCATAGGATGGGGGTCGATTTCTTTGCTTGTTCCCGCACGAGCTCGCTGTGAGGCGGGGGGGGGGGGTGGACGATTTGCCCCGACCGGTTTTATGTTCCAATAAGTTGTGTCCGCATGTCGCGTGCGAACTAAACCCCCCGTGCCGGCGTCTCGCCGTCCGAGAGCACCATCGCCCATGACCCCCGCGCGGGCAAGAAGAAAAAAAAAGCTTATTGCGGGGACAAACGCGTGGCGTCGAGCTGCAGACCGGGCGGCCGCGTTCACAACAATGCCGGCGAGCGCCCGAACGGGACGGCCGAAGTCCCCCGGGGGGAGGGGGGTGGTCGGCGCTCGTCGAGTCCTCGCGAGCGGCCCGCGGCGCCCGCCACGCAGCGCCTCGAGCGCTTTGTAGGGGCGCCAGCGCTCGACCACGACGACGGACGACTTTTGAATCGTTTTAACGCAGGGTGGGCGGGGGGGGGGGGCTCGTCTCTCGTGCGCTTTCACTCGGGAGGTGGAAACAATTGTGATGGTCTGTGGCAGGAGCACGCCGCGCGCAGGACGTTTATCGACGCTTTTCACGTTCAGCATTGTACCCATCTGTCCCCTTTGTCCCGAGTGTTTTCATTATTCCGGTGCGTAAAGCAGCGACGGGGGGCACCGGCTTCCAGGAACACTGGCCGGGCACGTTAGCGGCCTACGACGACGATGCCGTTTCATCAGCCCAGAAACCACCACGTGCCAATAGCAAGCATTTACCTGCCGCACACGCGGCCTCGACGCACGTGCACCTCCAGCCGACTCTGCATCCCTCGCAGCAGTGAACCCATTCACCCCCATTAGCGAGCGTGCGACAGAGCATTTCTCATCAAGTTTACCCGCGTGGCAACTTGATTTGATCGGCTTTGTCGTCGGGTTGGTGGAGTCTTATAGTAAACACAACATTGCAAACAATTGGCATCTTAACTTACGCTAGGATCGAACCCAAAAGAACGTGACAATGAATGGTAATGTTCGTCGCTAGAGCCGGCGACGTACGGAATTAAGTTTCAGTATTACCAAGCACTTGCGCGCAACGCCATTTGTTGGCGTGCGGTCTACGACTGCGGTCCCCCCCCCCCCGATGGCTTCGTGCGACACTCGCAGCACCGCTGTGCTGCTGTCACTATTATCATCGTCGTCGTCGTTACTATTATACTCTGCATAGCCATTATACAGTTTTAATGTAACCCTATTCACGCGCTGCTCGCTCTTGTGTTAAGTCTCAGCTGCGACGGTAATTTCTCGTTCCCAAGAGTGATATACATAAAGCGTTGGTTTAAAACAAAAACAGCTTTTGTTGTGTCGCACTGGGCTTTACTTTCGCTTATGACGTGCACGGATGGGCAGTGTGTGTGAGCCCCTGTGAAGTCAAGGTCTGCGGTTGCCCACGCTCGCCCCTCCTAGCGACTCTGCTGCCCCTTGGGGTATAAGTTCAAACTACTGGGCAATATTAATTCAGTTCTACGCAGCCAGGCCACTCACTAACGACATCGTGCTCGTGTTATGACCTTTATGTTTGAGTTATATTCTTATGTTTGCCCTATGTAGCCGTGTAAATTGTTGGCAGTTGCGGGATATTGTAAGTCCAAACACACCAAAACATTTGATTGCTTTCATGTGATTGCTTTCATGTGCTTGCTCAAGTGCTGTGCAGGATACACAGAATATCTCATAATGCTTTCGGTCAACACATTTGAGAGGACACTTTAACAAAACGTTGGCTACGTGCTTCAAACAATAAAGCTTTTGACTAAATACTGGATGACATGTTGATGACTTTGCGGCAGATGTTCATGTTGCTTGCATCACATTCTACAATACTTCGACTCACAAGCACCGCGACCACGTGTGAGACGTCTTCCCGCGTGGGATTTGGCTGACAACTGGGCCCTGCAACGGCCGGAATCTAAACAAACGACAGATGAAGCCCTGACCAATCCAGGTTGATGCTCGTTATTTTTTCACGTGCCGATTGTTTCAATCCATTGTGGACTTGGCCGTGCGGTGGTGGCTAAAATGCACGTGGCCTGTAACCCAGCACTGCGGAGCCAGCAGCGAGGGTTTGGTGGATCACCGCACAAATGAGAAACTTCATTCCCGTAGACGTCGAAGAGGAACCATACCCCAGCAAAGGCAGTAAATACAAACATTACTAAAACATCTTCCCCTCTTGTGTGCGATAGTGTTGCCCTCTCGCAAGCACGGGGTTCCTTCCCACATGTAAACACTCGCAGTTGGCTAATAACGCCTTCAATATATAGAGGACCGCAGAGCTTGGGCAACTATGCACCGACGATCGCGTGGCTGCTTTCCCGCTCGTCCGTGGTTCCCCGCGCCTCCGAGTCGTTCCCTCGCTTTGAAAGCGGGTGACTACCGTGCTGTGCACATAAGTTACAATTGTTACACGACACAAGATTATTGTACGGCTGTTGCGGCTTGCTCTCCGTGGGGACTGCCGTTCAGTCTTAAATCAGCAGTTGGCAATCGTATGACGGCGGCCGACCATCGATGAGAAATACTGCCAATGATCATGGTAGGCGTTTCACGGAGGGCATCCCTTCTGTTGTTTTAAAGCATCGTTACATTGCCATGCCACCCCTTAACTCTATATAATGTGTCCAAGCTCAGAGCATCGACAGCTGCCACTACCTGTGGTCATTGAATGTTGTCAGCGATCGACTTCCATCAAATGTCAATTTTTGCACCTTGCAAATATGGAGGTGAGACTTAATGTCTTTCGGTGGGCAGCATGTCATTCACCGTTTGATAAAGAAAACAAAACAGCGCTCATCAGCTCAATGCCCATCTCAATGCCTTAAACATGCATTACCGTATCATCTGCTACATATAAATGTATTATTACTTCGCAAGATCTTCTGTATACTAATTCTGCTTTTTAAAAAAAACCCACAAGTAATCCCTGTATTATAAACATGAACCAATGTTGTTTGACAAATGTACTGAACGTTTTATTCCACCGTCCCCAACCCACATTGAGGGCATGTTATACTCCACACTTGTAACGCAGGCAGCACACACCAGGTGACCAGGGCCCGGCCAAATTGAAAAGGGGGCAAAATGTTTTTGAGGATATGGCCAATGCAGCCAATTCATGCATTCATGTCGGTACACGTCGTCACCCTGTAATCATTTTGCTTTGTCCAGCTAGAGACCCCAAGTGTTATTTTGCTTCATGTTGTAACACCGTTATGCATGTTATTTTCCATTAAAAGAAAAAAAAATACAATTTTGTGCGCCGTCAACCCCCCAAAATGTTTTCACGTTGCCGTTGAAATGCCACCATAACAGCAAGGCAAACCACGTAAGCCGGCACGGGGACATATCCCCCATGGATCTGGCGGAAGAGGTTTTTGGGTTAGATTGCATAAACATAAGTGTCATTAAACCCGACACAGCCAATAAGTAAGGTTTGTTACGTAAACAAAACATGCCAATTCTTTACTAGTACAACACACTGGTGTGTTGAACAGTGAACCCGTATTTACAATTCGAGTACGACGTTTCACCAGTAATTACAAATAGCATCATCAGGCGACAGCCAGAGTTGTGGAGAAATCCCCCTGCATCGGTCTAAGAGGGATAAATGTGATGTCACTTGTAAACCAATCAGATGCGAGGACCAGGGCGGGGGGTTAATTTATGGGTTAACACGCTCTCCCAAGACACACTCGTGTATTGTACGATTAAAGAATTGGCATGTTTTGTTCACGTGACAAACCTAATTGTCGGGTGGTGGCAGGTTTAAAGACATATACGCGATCTGACACAACAAAAACCTATGGATAACATTGGTCGCAAATGACTACGTGTCAAAACGGCTTCCGTTCGGTACTCCCGAGTCACGGGCACCACGACACGAATCCCTGAAAGCCCCACGTTGCCTTTTCAACGAATGCACAAAACATCTTACATTTGGACAGCTCTGTTGCGTCCCTTCCATCACATTTTCCGCGCACGCCAGACGCATCGCCGCTTCGCGCGCCGCAGTCCACGGCATCTCGGAGAGGCCCTGTTCATCCAGCAGTGGATTTTTTTTTAATGGCGGTGCGTGTGTATATGAAAACCATCATCGTTTGGACACTCGCAATGAGAGTGCAGTAGGTATAAAATACAGACCACGTGGTAATCCTGCCATAGCCAGGGGATTGTAGTTCATGGGCCTCAACAGACATTGGTACCACTTCAAGGGGGCAAACCTTGAATCGTAAGCGATGTATTTATATGGCTAATACAAATGCAGTTTTGCACAGGTGAGGGTTTCGTGTGGAGGTGCCGGGTCGGTGAGCGGTAGGGGCTGCAATGATCCATTGATGAATCAATCGACTTTGATTCTTGAGCTTGTGATAAGTGAAGAACCGACGATGGAACAGCCCTCGTTTCTCTGCTCAATAGAATTGGAACCCCTAAACCACATCCGCACAAATCATGGCAGATGCGGATACCTGACTGCACAAATAGAAAATAAAAAAAAACTCTCCAGTAGTGTGCAACTGTGGTCACCCAGAACAGACCTGCAACATGTAATGGACACAATGCTCCGATCCACAAATACAAAGAGGAGACATCACAGCGATGATAACACTCGTGGCTGCTCCTGACGCGGCTGTCTGGCTTGGCCACCTGAATGTGCAATTGTAATCGTTCCTCTGCATCTACATCAGCCATGAGAAAAGTAGGGACCCAGTCTCAATCGTGTCCAAACAAAAACAACACATGGAAAGTTGTGTGAGGAAATTTCCTCCATAAATGGGAGATCAGGGACTCCACTAAACTCTGCTTTGAGGCGAAAACCATCAGGAAAATATCACCCATGGCTGTTTTGACAAACGCACCATGGTGGAACGAAAGCACCCCACTCGTGGAACGTAGCCTCTTGGTTTTTTCAAACACCGTACGAAAGAAGAATTTGATAACCCACTCGTTCCAAAAGGTTACCCCACAATTTCATTGTTGTTGGCCACATTAATACATTGTAAACGCTGAATTGACGCCATTTCAGGTGGTACCGGACAGGTGAAATATCTGGTCTGGTCTCAAGGACTCATGATAGTAACCATCAGAGCTGGCCCATACATGGTCTAGGCATGCTTTGCATACGCAGCATTGGTTAACACTGGCTAAATGTTATGAGACCTCCTTTGCCAGAAACAAGATATAGGAATAGGTTTTACCCTTTTAACTGGCACAAAAACTGACACCTTTATTCAAGGCATCATGTTTGCAATGACAAGACAAGCAGTCAAAATGCAAACAAAAAAGACAACTCTGATGCATATTATTATCAGAGTTGTCTTTTTTGTTTGAATTTTGACTGCTTGTGTTGTGGTCATTGCAAACATGATGCCTTGAATAAAGGTGTCAGTTTTTGTGCCAGTTAAAAGGGTAAAACCTATTCCTACTGGCTAAATGTGTTTTCTTTATATGTGTCAGAGCCTTGGCCTAAGGTTAAACAACTCTGCTGTCATTAACACACCCCCCAAGTCATGGTTTAGAGTCCGATTAGCACCGACATTGAAAACTTTCTGGCACATTCAGCAACATAAGCATACAAATGTTCCATAGAAAAAGCATTTAAGTGTGGCTTTAAAAATACACACCGCTAAATTCTGTACATCGCTTTAATGTGCAATTATTGTGAAGCACTTCCAATCAAATGAGTAAATTTATTAAAACAGATATTTAAAACATTTTAATTAACAATACAAACAATCTCCACTACCTTGCGTATCTGGGAAAACACAATTTATAAAACGTTTGAAAAAAGCGAAATGTTACCACGAGATCAAGTCGCTACACTTTTTTCTTGCGAATGAATTGCTTGGCCTCCTTATTGAGCGTTTTAAGATCCTCCTCTCCGTCCGAGAGCTCTGGATCCCACTCCGAGCCCTCCTCACCCTCCGAATAATCGTCATCGTCAATGAAGCTGTCTTCCAGGTCGGAGTCTTCGCCGTCATCACCGCTGTCCTCATCGTTCGCTGAAAGTCACATGTGGGGATGTTTAGCGAGCGGTCCGACAGGCAACGACGCCGGTTGGACTCCCTAAACTCAACCCACCCATCTTAGTCCCGGTACTGGACTACATCATGAGCAGAAGTCATTTGAAACCAAAGGACTAATGGGCAGCAGCAAGTATAGGGTAACAGACCTCCTAGTGCAGTACAACTACTCGAGGCAGATGGGTTTTCAATAGCCAATGGCTTTGACAACAGGGCCATCATAGGTATGCCAAGGGCAGACGAGGCTCCAATAGGCCAGTGGGCATCAACAGCGAGGGAGAGCCGACTACAACCAAACAGAGCACCACACCATGGCATGAGTTCTGATTCATGTCTCGGGTGATGGCTAAGACGTCACCCTGACGAACGAGGTCCACGCAGTCCATGAGGGAGCCCACGCTGGCTCTCGAGGTGGGCCGTGGGACCCGTCATACCAGCGATGGAATCCAGCGGTGGTTGACAAAGATTAAATAATATTTATAATAAATCCGGCGCTTTTTATTACACCTCTGGATGAAGGATAATGCTGCTTGAGGTTTGCAAGGACAAGAAGCTAAGTGACGTCACACCCCATAAAAAACTTGCGCCAAAATTAGACGTACTTCACCCAATACTAATCAACGTCATAAATGTTGCCTGCTATGGTTATACAGTATTTGAGAGCTGTATTTGCATGGATAGCATTTAACTATATTCAGAAACTGCGTTGAACTGTGCCCACAAACAACTCTACAACATGTACCTCTCTTGGTAGTTCTCCTTTGTGATCGCCGGGTCCCTGCAACTGCACGTGGGACAGCGTTTTAGAATACAACGTTCGATGACAAGATGATAGTTTGGCAATGCTTATTTACAGACAATGGCAACCGTAGTCATCAAATTTTACAGAATATATCGGTGAAGTGGGGACCCCTAAAATAAGATATTGGAAAATTTTGTACCAATGGGCTAAGGCGGTCACACATTTGTACATGGACTTTACAAGCTGCCACAATTGGAAGCTTCAATCAGCTTCATGATGAATCCTATGCTAAACAAAGACAACGATCGCCCTGTATAGCCTTAGCAGACTGTTGGGGCAAGTGCTGTTAGCGAGCACCTGTGAAGGCCAGCACAGAGCACGAGGGGGTGGGTGGCCAACACCTCGCCTAGCCGCCTTCGTCTCCCAAGTGGCGATGTTTACACACCACACCAGGTACTCATTTGAGGGCGAGTCGACCGAGGGGAGGCCCAGGACCGGTCCAGATAATCGTCACTGGTGTTGGTGGCCATGAGCGGGAATCGAACTCGGGCTGCCAGGCTCATTGCGCAGTGCACTAACCACCGCACTATCACTCCCCACAAAGACGATGTTAAACACGACACACCAGCACATGCAACACACTACCACCACATATTCCGTGGTTGGCCAAGACTCTGGAATACCCGGGTGGTGAATATTTGGTGCCCGTGTGGTTTGGTTTATTGACAAGAGCTGTTTATAGAACACCTGGGCCATTACAATAATGCAATGAGGTCAATCAATTCGAGCACAGACAAAAATGTATGTAAGCCATGATTCTATGAGAATAGCAAGGGGTACCTGGGGGATTCGTGTGGTTGAATGCCATCCTGTGTTGCGGGTTCTGTCTGCAATGGAAAAATATTAATGTTAGTCTCCTCCATCACAACCGGGCAAACTGATTGAAGCGATGCTCAAATATTAGAATTACAAACCGGCGCTAAACGGATTTAGAACGGCGTTCACACTACAACGGCCACGGCTCAACAAAAACACTACATTCGGTTGAAATCTCCCTCAAAGTAATTGATTATCATTTCATTTCGACAGACTTCCAACTCTCTACAGCTAACCTCTTCGAATGCAATAACTGCTCTGTAGAATCAGGCCCCATAAAATGCAACAGTAATTGTAAATTGATATAACTCTACTTATATTATACGAAAATTACATTTTGCCATCTCAAGGGAACACTCACAAAGACACTTCGAGTCATCTTGGGTTCATTATGCCGAAGTCACTGATTGAGTGTACAATCATGAAAAGGTCATTAGACCATATACTATACAGATCGATTCCCTACTGGAGACATGAATGCTTGTGATAGTGTGTCCATGAGTCACCTGTAGCAGGAAGTGCCGTATGGACAGTCGGGCTTATCAGTATCTGCCACTTCATCCACCACATAATCAAGATCCCCGGGATGGCTGCATTCTTGGAAATGCAATGGGTTCTTCCTGTCAGCAGCATAACAAAATGTCAGTGTTGGGGATTATCTGAGCACCACACGGAATTCAACTAAGACGGTCAACAATGTAGAAAGCTAATATTCAAATCCTATATTTGGCATATAATCTAAAAATTATTAATTTTACCACGCAATGCCCGCTGAGCTGTACAGCTCTTTATCAGAAGCGACCTGGTCACAAATGATAGCTCAACAAAGTGGCTTATCATGTGGAAATCTCGAGCAGCTAAATACTCTAAACGCATGATTCTGAATGTGGAGGGAAGAACTGGAGGACCCGGAGATAAATCCACACGACCACGGGGAGACACGCAAACTCAAAATATACACCAGGCGTCAGGGTAGGGATCGAACCCACGACCTCCTGCATACCAGGCGAGGTAGTTAACATCTCGCCACCGTGGCACCCAATGTCAATATCTTGAGATTGCTCACAGAAAATCTTTCTATGCCTCCTAATATCTAAAACTAGAGGCTTACTAACAAAGCTATTTATTCAAAAGACAGTACGGCATTCTTGGCTATGTCAACTTGCAAGGGTTTTGAATAAACTTGTTGCTAACTTCACTTTTGAGACCACTTCCCCTACCTCACATTCACACAGCCTTACAGTGAGGGAAAAAAGTATTTGATCCCCTACTGATTTTGTACGTTTGCCCACTGACAAAGAAATGATCAGTCTATAATTTTAATGGTAGGTTTATTTGAACAGCGAGAGGCAGAATAGCAACAAAAAATCCAGAAAAACGCATGTCAAAAATGTTATAAATTGATTTGCATTTTAATGAGGGAAATAAGTATTTGACCCCTCTGCAAAATATGACTTAGTACTTGGTGGCAAAACCCTTGTTGGCAATCACAGAGGTCAGACGTTTCTTGTAGTTGGCCACCAGGTTTGCACAACATCTCAGGAGGGATTTTGTCCCACTTCTCTTTGCAGATCTTCTCCAAGTCATTAATGTTTCGAGGCTGACGTTTGGCAACTCGAACCTTCAGCTCCCTCCACAGATTTTCTATGGGATTAAGGTCTGGAGACTGGCTAGGCAACTCCAGGACCTTAATGTGCTTCTTCTTCAGCCACTCCGTGTGTTTTGGGTCACTGTCATGCTGGAATACCCATCCACGACCCATTTTCAATGCCCTGGCTGAGGGAAGGAGGTTCTCACCGAAGATTTGATGGTACATGGCCCCGTCCATTGTCCCTTTGATGCGGTGAAGTTGTCCTGTCCCCTTAGCAGAAAAACACCCCCAAAGAATAATGTTTCCACCTCCATGTTTGACGGTGGGGATTGTGTTCTTGAGGTCATAGGCAGAATTCCTCCTCCTTCAAACACGGCGAGTTGAGTTGATGCCAAAGAGCTCCATTTTGGTCTCATCTAACCACAACACTTTCACCCAGTTGTCCTCTGAATCATTCAGATGTTCATTGGCAACTTCAGACGGGCATGTATAATGTGCTTTCTTGAGCAGTGGGACCTTGCTGGCGCTGCAGGATTTTAGTCCTTCACGGCGTAGTGTGTTACCAATTGTTTTCTTGGTGACTATGGTCCCAGCTGCCTTGGGATCATTGACAAGATCCTCCCGTGTAGTTCTGGGCTGATTCCTCACCGTTCTCATGATCAATGCAACGCCACGAGGTGAGATCTTGCATGGAGCCCCAGGCCGAGGGAGATTGACAGTTCTTTTGTGTTTCTTCCATTTGCGAATAATCGCACCAACTGTTGTCATCTTCTCACCAAGCTGCTTGGCAGTGGTCTTGTAGCCCATTCCAGCTGTGTGTAGGTCTACAATCTTGTCCCCGACATCCTTTGAGAGCTCTTTGGTCTTGGCCATGGTGGAGAGTTTGGAATCTGATTGATTGCTTCTGTGGACAGGTGCCTTTTAGACAGGTAACGAGCTGAGATTAGGAGCACAACTGAGAGCCAGAAATCTTTCTGATTGAGAGGGGGCCAAATACTTATTTCCCTCATTAAAATGCAAATCCATTTATAACATTTTTGACAGGCGTTTTTCTGGATTTTGTTGTTGTTATTCTCTCACTGTTCAAATAAAGCTACCATTAAAATTATAGACTGATCATTTCTTTGTCAGTGGACAAACGTACAAAATCAGCAGGGGATCAAATACTTTTTTCCCTCACTACATCTCAAACTGTAAGTTCTTTGTCAGAGTGAACACGTGTATCAAATCACTCGTCGGCAATTCGATGGAATGGCACAATTCGGCACCACAATTAGTTTCAAGGGAACATTTCTGCGCAGTCTCAGGTTCTCATTTGTATTGTTTCTTGATACTTTACCTCATCAAGAGTGACCTACCATTCGACGATGGTGCATCCACCCGTTTATACTGCTGGGTGAACAGAGGTGGGGGTATGCAATAAACCTGAACCATTGTTACAACTGCCACACCACAGGACCAAACTGGAGACCTCTGGATTGCAAGTCCATGACACTATGGCAGCGTTCCTAGATGTGTAACACGTTTCTTAAATTCCAACTAGACCCACCTGTAACACCTCTCTGCGTATAGGCAAGGCGTGCGCTGCATCTTCTGGGGAGGGGTTCCTTCCCCACGGCCCGAGTCCCCGGGTGAGGGACTACGCCTCTGGGATCCCCCCGGTTGCACGGGCTGCTGCAATGAGTGCTGCGAGCTTACAGACTGGCCAGATGACGTTTGTGGAACATCTGAAAAAACACCATGACAAATATACATAAGACGCACAATATGGATATGTTTTACCATTTATAATTAGATAGTTTTGGGTTAGATCATGTAGGTATCGTGTCAATTTTGTAACTATAACCCTCCACGAGCCAACAGAGCCAATTAAATCAAGTTGTCACGTGGACAAATGTGCCAAATGATTTGGCTTCTCAGCACAACCAGCAAAGTTGACAATTTTACATACGATGTTTCGCTGGAGGTTATTACCAGCTTCATAAGGTGTTAAGAAAAGCTCCTCTCGTATGGTTGTTTTAAATGGGGATATTTTATTTTTACCCCTTCATCCACACATATCACAACATATTGAAAACTACATTTTGCGTCAAGGTCAACGTTATCACCCTTACAGTTGATGTGGATGGTGCTCAACACTGCTGGTGGCTCTAAGCCAGGTTTGGAAAAGCAGTATTGCTATGGGAGACAACTGTCTACCCATACAACCTTCCCTTCAGACTTCCAGGAAAGTGGATGCCTATTTTATTGACCCCAATCCTCAACATAAGATTTGAAATTGCAATTTCACCTTGTGAGTTTGAACATTCTGTTAAGAGTCCTACCAAATAGAACTGAACGACATGAACAACACAGGCCAAAGAACTACACTGAACGCCCATTTTCCATAAATGTTGATCATTCCAAACATAAATATTACATGCTTTCCACAACTTAAACATAGCAGACTTTACAAGTACAACAATTTGTATCATAGTTGACTATATTAGCTACTAAAAGCATTATAGATTGTCGAATTAGGAATCGTACCTGTGAATCAATTTGATTGAGATGCCAGACAATAGATACAAAAAAATATGGACACATCGCTCCCAAGAAACTGTGACACCGTTCCTAAAAAACATTTCTCACCACTAAATTTTGATTTAAAGCTTTCGTGACTGCAGGGATTCATATTCTTGGTTCTTTCGGTAACGTCACGTGTTTACTGTTGGGAGCACGACAGAGGCTTTTACACAATGTGTCGATTGTCGGGGGAACGTCCACTACTCACCACGTTGATCTTCCCGTGCTAGGGGGACTGCCTCTTCCTTCTGCCTTGGGTCTCCTGCTGAATTCACACTGGCCAAGTCACTTTCTGCAGGTAATTCATTCAGATCATCACAACTCCCAGGCTCCTCATTTCCAAAAGAGCTTTTCCGATCTTCCTCTTGCTCCTTGACCTGCAGTTCACATTTACATCGCACAGTTAATGTGCAGTTGTCTCATGAGTACGACAGAGTCCCCCACATGGGAGAAAATCCTGCGCTGGGGATGACGTTCCTCACACCACAACACACGTTCACCGCCAGGAAGCCTTCTTTTCCAGCACCCGACACCCACCCCCGCACTCACCCCTTATTTACCTTCCCTCTTGCCCAACCTTTCTGGAACCTTCCAGAAGTTCCTCGAAGCCCCTCTCCTTTTCCCACCAAATAAACCCCATTCCGGTTTCCTCCAATCACCTGCCTACTTCGTGGCTCTTCACAAATTGTGGATGTAGTCCCATATCCCCACCAAACCTAAGCGTGCCCTCACTCGACCCTTACAAATATAACAGCGGTGCAGTAGTAATGCACGTTTTTCATAATTTTGAGGGACATGAGAAAAGTATGCGGTCACATATTCATTTATATTTATGTTGCCGTGTTCATTTATATCAAAGTGGGTTTCCACTTAAATGTGCAAGGCCAGGTGCTTGTATCCTGTTGAAGAGTTCTGAGCCAGGGGCAGAACCTCCACGTTTCTGAAGACAGGCCATGCAGACTCCTTGCAGCCCATGCAGACTCCTTACAGCCCATTCAGACTTCTTAAAAAATGTAACTCATTATATATGGACACTAATAATATTTAAGTGAATGCAACCTTCTGATTGTGAGAGACACATTATTCCCAGTGTGTCACCTGGTAGGACACCCTACAAACAATAGCAGGAGTTCTCAACCTGTGGTATGCAGACCACTTGGTGGTCCAAAAGGCTGTTGAGAGGGCTCTGCGGAACTGTTAGAGGCTTCCCCGCTCTCTGTGGGAGATCAATTCCAAAAACCAATGCGCCGCACGAGACAGCTGCCTGCCGAGTAGCGCACACCGTACACACACAAATACAATGTTATCCCACGTCCGACCGTTAGCCGCATATGAGTGAATTCAAACCGCAGAGGGAATTTTGGGTTGTAGTGGGTTAAGCCGCATGTACGTGAAATCGCACAAATCAAAGCCGCGTAAAGCAAGGGAAACCGTTACTAAGATACATTTTTTTACCGTATGGTGGTCTGCTAAGATATTGTGATGCTTGCCCATCGCCCAGGGGTCTGGGAGGGTCGGGAGCGACCGCTCTACAGAATAAACGTAATTTAAAACGTTTCATTCTGTTTACCTTTGTTGATGTTATCTTTCTTTTTTTCTGAGTCCCAATTTCCACCTCATCCTCATCATCACTCCCCGGTCCCCTCCTCTTCCCAGCTCCTTGGCCATGTGCTGCTGCTTGTGGCTTCGCACTGCCTTTGCCCTTCCCCCCTGAATTCCAACAAACCACAAAGCAATGCTTCAAAAGCAACACTGGCATCCCGTACACATGACATCGCATTACCATGTTAATCAAACGCTTCATTTGATATGAACAAATTCTGATTAAAGAACAACAATATTCAAGAAACAAGATATGAGTGGTTTCCTATTGCCTAATACAATGCATAGAAAAAGACAAAAACAAATATCCCCTTCATAGCCTTCAATAGACTGTTGGGGCAAGAGCTGTTAGCGAGCACCTACGAAGGCCGGCACGGCACACGAAGTTGGTGGGTGGCCAGCACCATGCCGGGCTGCTTTTTTTTCTCTCCAGTGGTGACGTTTACATATCGTACCAGAGACTCATTTAAGGCTGAACCAACTTGGGGGAGGAGGCCCAGGACTAGTTCAGATGTTCGTCACTGGTGTTGGCCGTGAGCGGGAATCGAACTCGGGTCGCCGGGTCCAGTGCGCTAACCGCTACACAATACACAGAAACACCTTATAACGCCTGCGTAATCAAAATGACTGTACAACTGAAAAAAGCTGGAGCTTTATGGGAATTAATATTAATCCAGCTCCATTCCAACAAGTGAAAAACCTGTGCATGGCCACCACTCCATGTAGCAGAATGACGTCTATTCTGTCCTCGCTTGATTTCACACGAACGACATGCACACAATGCACACCTCGAGGCCCACGTATTAAAGTAAAACCTTTTACGAATGAAAAAAATTACTGCAGCTACTAATACGTCGCGTGAAATGTAGTAAAATATACCTCCCAATTTTATACGTGTGCTTTAATTACCAATATTAATATTATTACTTAAAATTGGTTTATTTTGGGTTAGGTTGTGTACAAATGTTTGTCGTAAACCCTGCTCCACCCACAACAGCCAATTAATAACAGTCACATGAATCCAACGTGTAAAATGTATCACTACTTCAGCAGCACCACCGCCACCGTTGTTGTTGGGAGAGCGATCTCACAATGTTTAAACGGGTACCGACGTTTCGCCTGATATTACATCCAGCATCATCATATCTCGAGAAAGGAGCTCCTGATAACAACCTGATGATGCTGGATGTGATCTCCAGCGAAACGTCGGTGCCCATGTAAACGTTGCGAGATTGCTCTCCAACAACAACAACTGCTACTGAAGAGTCGTACATTTGGCCACGTTTGATTCGCGGCACGAGAGTTTTACGCAAATAACCCAAGAGACCAACTGTGAATTATACCTCTCAATTAAATCTATTTCAGAAAGTTGGAATCGTGTCTGGTTACGTTACCCTTGGACTTGGTGGGAGTCTTCTCCTGCACATCGTCATCATCGGTCAGCATCCACGCCGGCAGCTTGCGCTCTCTCTGAATATTCGGTTGCTCACCTATGGCTGCATCCACCTGCTGCTCATGGAGAATATAAAATGTCAGCTTGAATGCTCACGAACACATTTTTCCCTTTGAATCTACTTTCTAGCTGTCGAATATCTGCTTATTCTTATGTTGCACAAGCAAATGTGCTTTTTTGTCTTATGCACCACTTGTAAGGACATACACAAGACAGGTTATAAACAAGATGTCATTCGGTCCATGCAGCTCATTCAATTGTTACAGAAGCAGATGAATGTATTTAATCTCGTCAAAAGGTTCTTCTCGAAGAGTCACCCAGTGAATCATCTTCGACAACATGCTTTTAAAACCCGTGAAAACGTTTACAAAAAGTGACGCAAATTCTAGCTTTGACATTTATTGTGAAGATCTCACTTTCTGAAATTCATATGAGAGAAACGGTATTTGCGAAATACTTAAATCTTAAGGAGTATCCATTGTGGTTATACCGCAATATTTAAAATAACGTGAACTATATTCTTAGTTTTTTCGGTAAAGTCACGTTGAAGAGAAACAACAAAATAACAAAATATATATAAAACAATAAAAAATTCTCACGACGTTTCGACCATAACTCAAACGGTCATCATCAGGTGTGTCGGTTTGCATAAATTTATTTTGAAAACGGCATATTTATTTATATATATAAAAATAACGTTTGCGTCACGCGCAACGATGGCAGTTTGCCAGGACTAGTCCATCTATTTTTTGAAAAGAGGAGGGGGGAGACGAAATTTGTTTTTATGTATGCTGTCTGAAAGGCACTGTAAGCGTGAACAATCAATCAAGAACTGAAATGATTTATCAAATCTTTCCAATGATTGCTAAGATAGAATCCATCTTCTCGGTTGAAATTGTCTCTGTGTTTGTATATGTGGATAGCCTCATGAACGAATCTCTCATGGAAGCCAGATGGCTTACAAAGAACCTCCGTCTTGGAAAAGTCAATGGCATGTGAGCCTACTGAATTAGAACAATGATCTGCTACGGCCGAGGTGTTGGTCCTACCGTGTTTAAGGTCTGCTTTATGTTCACGAATGCGGTCCGAGATATGGCGTTTGGTTTCTCCAATGTAACTACTACCACAGAGGCAACTTAGTTTGTAGACACCAGGGTATTGTATGTCCGGAATCACATCTTTTACAGACGGAACCAGATCACGGATTTTATGTATTGTGTTGAAACGGACCTGGATCTTGTGTTTATAGATGGACTAGTCCTGGCAAACTGCCATCGTTGCGCGTGACGCAAACGTTATTTTTATATATATAAATAAATATGCCGTTTTCAAAATAAATTTATGCAAACCGACACACCTGATGATGACCGTTTGAGTTATGGTCGAAACGTCGTGAGAATTTTTTATTGTTTTATATATATTTTGTTATTTTGTTGTTTCTCTTCAACGTGACTTTACCGAAAAAACTAAGAATATGAATTACTGCAGTCACGAAAGCTTTAAATCAAAATTTTATAACGTGAACTGTTTTGCATTGCAGGTTTTAACGTACTGATGGATGTGGGAGGTTCTGGCTGGTGTCAGGAGCGCAGGATGTGCCGTTTTCTTTCTTAGGCCCAGTACAATCTGACACTGCCAGGGCCGAGCTAGTGCTCTGCTGCTCTCCTTGGCTGGTACGAGGTTCCGACTTGGGTGAATTGATGAGCCGTTCTCCTTTTGTTTCCTTAGGAAAAACTTCCTTGCCCACAAGTTGTTCTTCCGCATGCTGACGTTCATCATCGGCCTGAGCACTTTCCCTGTCCATCAAAGGAGAAAAACACAATGGACCATAAACTATAACATTAAAATAAAGATTTTTTTATTTCACCAGGTAAGGCCCACTGAGCTATATAGCTCTTTTTCAGAAGCCATCTGGCCACATATGATAGTCTAGCAAAGTAGTTTATCATGTGGACATTTATATCAGCCATATACTCTAAACACGTGATTATAAATGTGGAGGGAAAACAGAGAATCCGGAGAAAAATCCCGCGACCACAGGGAGAACATGCAAACTACAAAAATATAGGCATCAGGGTCGGGATCGAACCCGTGACCTCCTGTATACCAGGCGAGTTAGTAAACATCTCACCACCACGACTGCCCAAAGACTTCCAGGGTAAGGGTTTAAGTGATGTATTGCTTCAATCACCTATGGTTACATGACTATGCCTTGTGGCCAAAGGAATACATTAAATAACCAAGGAATTCTACGGTACTTTTACATAGAACATTGTTTTAAAGTTTAATACATTAAACCAGTTATGGATACAATGCTTAATAGATTTGTTGAGTGGTTGACTCGGCCTACCATCCCACGTTGTGGGGAAGGCAACAATGGTTGGCCTATGGATAGATTTGCACCCGCCACAGGAACATGGCACTTCCACAACTGGCTCAGGGGCTTATGAAGAAGAGATAGGCAGCGCCTAAATGCTCAGTTGAGAAGGAAATTACTTTTGACAGTTCGTGCTTAAAGTATGAACCCCCCCCACCCCATCCCTGGAAACTCTGGCACAGAACTCTCCTCACCCTGGCAGGAATGGAACATCTTAGCCACAAATTAAAGGGGAAAGTGAATACGAGGTCATATGGTCCCCGTTCTTGCTGGAATCCAGCATGAATAGCTGGGAAAATGGGGCCTGGGGAGAAAGGATGGACTCTGGATACTACAGTAACTTTGTTAATGCTATTTTATTTCTGGTTCTGTTTAGTTACATTATCCTCCACCCCCCCCCGCCCCTGATTGTTACCCCAACCGCAGTAGGGCAGTGAGCCCAGATGCCCCCGGTCGGTCCCTAATTTTGAGGGTGCATTGCTCCAGTTTTTGTTCCAGGTTTTCTGCTTGGTTTACCCCCGCCTCCCCCCCCCCCACCTTATCCGAATCTACTTTGTACTCTGGGTTATTGAATAACAATATAAATATAAGTAAATTAAAAAAAATTGGTGCTTAAAAAAACAAACTACACACTCGGCACGAGGGCCACCGTCCTCGGGCACGTAGATGACCTCGTACACGAAGGCATCGGCAAGCAGCGCCAGACGGTCCCCCGGCTGCAGCCACGTCCACTCGCCCCGGGGCAGCGGCCGCAGGGCCGTAGAGCCCTGCGCGCCGTGGTAGCACGGGTTCACGTGCAGCTGCGGGGGAGGGAGGGAGCGGGGGGGGGAAACGAAGTTAGATCGTCACAGTGGCATTTTAGCCATGTGCTTTGGTGCGTGTCGCTCCAAACATCGCACCTCCTGGCTTTTACATTCCTCGAAGACACCGGTGCAACCACCAACCACCAACCACAACCACCAAACGCATCAGAACATCAACAGGCCGATGCACACGTCTCGTTCATAAATGGAGAATTAAAGACAAGACACTCCAGCGCTGTCCTCCAGACAGTCTCGTCCCCTTCACCTGATGAAGGCCGCTTGTGTTGTGGCCGAAACGTCGTGAGAATATTATTGTGTTATTTTATTTTAGCAATTTATTATTTTATGCTCATTCTACGTGACTTTACCGAAAGAACCAAAGAAGATAAAGACAAGCTGCAGTGTGTGACCTATGGACCAAATAGTTTGCACTCCTTCAATAGAGGAATAGCCAGAGTACACACCAGACCTCTGAAATTGGCATTTAACTCCTGAAGATATTGCCAAACGCAACAATAGAATAGCCTGGCATCACAATATAAGCACTGGCTATTTAAGTGGGTGATGCCCATGTTTGTTGTCCTTCCTACTAACAGGGTGTAAACCAGTGGTAGAACAAGTCACAATTCACTCCGTATCTACACAGCGTGATCCTTTCAAATCCTTCATCATATATTTCAATGTTCACTTTAAACAAAAATATATATTTTTTTATCTTTCTCTCCAACCTTGCCCGCACTAAACCAATCTTCTCTAGCCTGTATCGGGTCTCTCGCCGAGCGTATAAAAGTAAATTGCACTTCTTTGGCTGCATCACCGAGCCGCGCTCATCAGGTGCTTGTTATCCCGCCGGCAGAAATCAAAGCTCTCTCTGAGATGTACCCTGCTACAAACCACACGGCACCATATTTGAGAATACTGGAACAAAAAAATGGTGGATTTGTACGAGTAAGGAATCGTGCAAAGTGATGCATTTGCATGGCAGATCTATTTAAAAATGGCAAACGTTAGTAGGAAAAAGGATGATGAGATTATTGGCACACAAGAGTTCATGTACCGGCTTCAATCGCAGCTTGCCCTCGACCAGCTCTAGCAGTCCATGCTCTCTGGACACTCTTTTGTCCGTCACCTGCACACACAACACGCAGAGGTATAGCCAAACGTTTCCATGACAATCTCCAAGGATTGTTTTAGTCACACCGCAGTGTGTGAACGCATGCATCTATGGTCAGCCTGCTTCCACCACAGGCATCGATGGAAGTTTACACAGGGAAATTGTCTGATTTCCGATGTGGCAAAAGACCTCACGACAGGAAGATGATATATAGTTGATCAAATATTGAAGGCATGTGGCATGCTGAAAAGCTATTGATCATAAATAGCACAAGTCCAGTGCAAGTTTGACCTGTAAAGTTGTAACATCGAAGCAAGATTAAATGTAGTAAGAGGAGTATGCACTTAGTGCGATCGACATAAGGGGTTCCATCAAACAGTAATACAAGAAACTTAAACTACAACCTCCTGGCGTATCATCTGGTTTGCTCTTTCCGAATGTGAACATGTAATTTGGGTCACCCTGTATGACGATGTGATGCTCGTAATTTACCACTGTTTTGGACCTTTCAGTCTCAAAATTATCCCAAGTTTTGCGTGTCATGGTTATAGCTCGCTGAGAAAGTGGGTGGGCCTTGCCGCCTTCGCGTTCGGAGCTCTAACGGTGTGGAAAGCACTCACGCTCCATATTCACCAAATTAAGTCACTTCCACTATTTAAATTCCATTTAGAAAACCTTTTTGTTTGCTCGGCCTTTAACTGAGTTGACCTTGGTTAGGGTGTGCTGTGTCTTGCGAGGGGCAACTTTATTGCTGTTGAGTTGTACAGTATTTTGATATGCAGTTTTGCATGACCATGCAATATAAAACAGAACTATTATTATACTTCGACTTTAAATCAGTTCAACACGTGAGCTTTCGCAACCAATATTATCAGCGAAACGTCACAGTACTCAAATTGTAAATGTTGTGGATCTACTCCCAAACACACCGGTCGGCTGAACTAGCAACTAATTGGCACGTTGTGTTTACGTGACAAACCTTACTAATTGGCTGTGTCAAGTGGTGGCAGGTTAACAACACATTTATATTTACGCGATCTAACCCAAATAAACCTTTCCTATGAATACTTTAAATCGCTGAAAAACTCTCAAGCCTATTAAACGGTTAAACTATCTCTTTCTATGTACACCAAAATGATCTGTAACAAGGTCTGTAGAAAGTTTATCCGTATTCTTGTACAGAGAAATTGAGTTTTCAGGTACATTTGGCGTACAGCCGTTTCAATACGAGCCAAAAATATTGTCTACTTGTTTGTGTTTTTCTCTTGCAATGCGACTTTATTGGATGACGTTGAGATTTATAAGGGCACGGGGTGACCAATAAGGTCTGAATTGGTCCGTAATAATAAGGTAGGCACTGATAAGGGGTTGACAGGTATGAAACATGCGTTTAGAGTATTTGCCTGCTATACAGTTCCACGTGATGTAAGCCACTGCGCGTTGAGCTATCATTTGTGGCCAGGTCGCTTCTGAAAAGACCCATACTGCTCAGTGGGACCTTATGGGCCGTCCATAAATGACGTCACGCACCTAGGGGGGGGGGGGGTCAGATATTTGTGACGATGTGTGACGAAGGGGGGGGGGGTTGAGAAATGACGTCACATCAAAATGCGCAACTTTAAATAAATATAGACAACACGTTCTACTTAATTAAATAGACTTTTTAATAAATGTTTTCTCCTACAACATCAGAGTGCAGCGCCACATTAAATACACACTACAATGACAATAGTTTAAAGCGATTTGAAGCATGGTTTATAAAAAATTTTTGGTGGGGGGGGGTAGGCAGAGCTTTGTGACGTCATATTTGAGGGGGGGTCTGACTTTTTGTGACGTCGTGTGACGAAGGGGGGGGGGGTCAAAACTCGTCCAAAATATCGTGACGTCATTTATGGACGGCCCCTTACCTGGTAAAATAAATTGAGTTTAGTTCAACGTGCTTGCGATGACCCCTACAGGAATAACAACGCATGGCACGCGAGTCAGAGCCGTTAGACACGGACTTGTGGGGCAATCTGAGCAGCACGTTGGCTGGACAGGTCGAAGGTCGACGGTGGTGTTGGAAGAGCTTCCACAGACGAAACGCGCCGATACGTTGACCGCCTGTGGAGATGAAGCCGCCGTGAGGCTAGCTGCTCAATGTCAGAATTTGTCATCAGAATATTTTTCGATTTAAAGCTTTCGTGACTGCAATGATTCATCTTCTTTGAAGGCCGCTTGTGTTGTGGCCGAAACGTCGTGAGAATATTATTGTGTTATTTTATTTTATCAATTTATTATTTTATTCTCATTCTACGTGACTTTACCGAAAGAACCAAAGAAGGTTGTCATCAGAATATTTATTCATACTGAAGGAACCCGATGAGCTATGAAGATATTTTTTTCACACATGTCCAGTCGGGGCAGGTCAGAACGTTACAACAACAAACGATAGAAAAACACACCAGGAGTGCAAAGTATTGGAAAGATAAACAAATACATTTTAAAAATATTATCGTGGCAGCTCGGGGTGGACTTCATCCAGCAGCGCAAACATCGTGGGCAGCTTCAAGCGCTTTAAACAAACTGTTGATTCAATACAAAGTAATCAGGAGCGGGTGAATAGGCCAACCCAAGTGGGATTCGTAGGTGGGCTCAGAAAGGTGGAACTTGAGGCTCCTTCTCCTGTCTCTCCCCGTGTCCCTCTCCCCGTGTCCCTCTCCCCGTGTCCTTCTCCTGTCTCTCCCCGTGTCCCTCTCCCCGTGTCCCTCTCCCCGTGTCCCTCTCCCCGTGTCCCTCTCCCCGTGTCCCTCTCCCCGTGTCCCTCTCCCCGTGTCCCTCTCCCCGTGTCCCTCTCCCCGTGTCCCTCTCCCCGTGTCCCTCTCCTGTCTCTCCCCGTGTCCCTCTCCCCGTGTCCCTCTGCTGTCTCACCCCAAGTAGAGGGCCGCGACCGATGCGGGTGACGCCGCTGCCCGGCACCTCCACAGCCCCACGCGAGGCCGCGAGCCCCGCGCCCAGCGGCCTCAGCAGCGCCCCGCGCCTCGGCGACGACGACATGGCCGCCTCCCTCAGCAGGCGGGGAGTTGTTGACCAGGCGGGGGAGTTGTTGACAGGAGGGGGAGTTGTTGTTGACAGGCGGGGGAGTTGTTGACAGGAGGGGGAGTTAACAACAACAACGACGAGCGCAGCAATTTCGGGTGACGGCGCGCGAACGAGGGGAGGGATACCCAAGTGATAGAATCGATTATGGATCGGAATCGATATACCCCTTTAAACCTCCGCGGGATTCGTTAATCGCGCTGTGAAAAGGGCACGCGTCTTGGCGAGCGGCGAGAATCGATTCCGACGACTTTAAATCGATATCGCGATCCTCGGATTGATTGAACCCATTGCGAGTGTTGGGGAGTGGGAAGAGGCCGTGATGAGGTGGAGGTGGCCGTGATGAGGTGGACGTGATTAGGTGGAGGTGGCCGTGATGATGTGGAGGTGGCCGTGATGAGGTGCAGAAGGCCGTGATGAGGTGGAGGAGGCCGTGATGAGGTGGACGTGATGAGGTGGAAGTGGCCATGATGAGGTGGACGTGATGAGGTGGAGGTGGCCGTGATGAGGTGGAGGAGGCCGTGATAAGGTGGAGGTGGCCGTGATGAGGTGGAGGTCGTGATGAGGTGGTGGTGGCCGTGATGAGGTGAAAGTGGCTGTGATGAGGTGGACGTGATGAGGTGGAGGAGGCCGTGATGAGGTGGAGGAGGCCGTGATGAGGTGGAGGTGGCCGTGATGAGGTGAAAGTGGCTGTGATGAAGTAGACGTGATGAGGTGGAGGAGGCCGTGATGAGGTGGAGGTGGCCGGGATGAGGTGGAGGAGGCCGTGATGAGGTGGAGGTGGCCGTGATGAGGTGGAGGAGGCCGTGATGAGGTGGAGGAGGCCGTGATGAGATGGAGGTGGCCGTGATGAGGTGGAGGTGGCCGTGATTAGGAGGAGGTAACCGTGATTAGGTGGAGGTGACCGTGATGAGGTGGAGGCCGTGATGAGGTGGAGGTGGCCGTGATGAGGTGGAGGTGGCCGTGATTAGGTGGAGGTGACCGTAATTAGGTGGAGGTGACCGTGATGAGGTGGAGGAGGCCGTGATGAGGTGGAGGTGGCCGGGATGAGCTTAAGGAGGCCCTGATGAGGTGGAGGTGGCCGTGATGAGGAGGTGACCGTGATGAGGTGGAGGTGACCGTGATGAGGTGGAGGTGGCCGTGATGAGGTGGAGGAGGCCGTGATGAGGTGGAGGTGGCCGTGATTTGGTGGAGGTGGCCGTGATGAGGTGACCGTGATGAGGTGGAGGAGGCCGCAATGAGATGAAGGTGGCCGTGATGAGGTGGAGGAGGTCGTGATGAGGTGGAGGAGGCCGTGATGAGGTGGCCGTGATAAGGTGGGGGTGGCCGTGATGAGGTGGAGGTGGTTGTGATGAGGTGGAGGATGTGATGAGGTGGAGGTGACCGTGATGAGGTGCAGGAGGCCGTGATGAGGTGGAGGAGGCCGCGATGAGGTGGCCGTGATGAGGTGGAGTAGGCCGTGATGATGTGAACGTGATGAGGTGGAGGCGGCCGTGATGAGGTGGGGGTGACCATAATGAGGTGCAGGAGGCCGTGATGAGGTGGAGGCGGCCGTGATGAGGTGCACGAGGCCGTGATGAGGTGGAGGTGGTCGTGATGAGGTACAGGAGGCCGTGATGAGGTAGAGGAGGCCCTGATGAGGTGGAGATGATGAGGTGGAGGTTTCCGCGATGAGATGGAGGAGGCCGTGATGAGGTGGAAGTGGCCGTGATGAGATGGAGGTGGCGTGATGAGGTGGAGGTGGCCGTCATGAGGTGCAGGAGGCCTTGATGAGGTGGAGGTCGCCGTGATGAAGTGGAGGAGGCCGTGATGAGGTGAAGGAGGTCGTGATGAGGTGGAGGAGGTCGTGATGAGGTGCAGGAGGCCTTGATGAGGTGGAGGTCGCCGTGATGAGGTGGAGGAGGCCGTGATGAGGTGGGGGAGGTCGTGATGAGGTGGAGGTGGCCGTGATGAGGTGGGGGTGACCGTGATGAGATGGATGAGGCCGTGATGAGGTAGACGTGATGAGGTGGAGGTGGCCGTGATGAGGTGGCTGTGATAAGGTGGAGGTGGCCGTGATGAGGTGGAGGAGGTCGTGATGAGGTGGAGGAGGACGTGATGAGGTGGACGTGATGAGGTGGCCGTGATGAGGTGGAGGTGGCCGTGATGAGGTGGAGGTGGCCGTGATGAGGTGGAGGCCGTGATGAGGTGGCTGTAATGAGGTGGAGTTGGCCGTGATGAGGTGGAGGTGGCTGTGATGAGATGGAGGTGGCGTGATGAGGTGGAGGAGGCCGTGATGAGGTGGAGGAGGCCGTGATGAGGTGGAGGAGGCCGTGATAAGGTGGAGGAGGCCGTGATGAGGTGGAGGAGGCCGTGATGAGGTAGCTGTAATGAGGTGGAGGTGGCCGTGATGAGGTGGAGGTGGCTGTAATGAGGTGGAAGTGGCCGTGATGAGGTGGAGGTGGCCGTGATGAGTTGACGCGGCGCTATGGCCAAGGCCCTCCCGCCCGAGGACCCGGAGTTGATCGCCTCTAGTCAAGGCAGTTCGACACCAGGGCGCTCGAGAGGGACACGGCGAGAATAGCGAGGGACACGGGGAGAGAGGGACACGATGGTGCGAGGGACACGGGGAGACATCAGAAGACAGAGATACATGGAGACACGAAGGGCACTGGCGTGAGACAAACGGAGCCAGAGAGACTCGCCCAGAGAGACTCGCCCAGAGAGACTCACCCAGAGAGACTCGCCCAGAGAGACTCACCCAGAGAGACTCGCCCAGAGAGACTCACCCAGAGAGACTCGCCCAGAGAGACTCGCCCAGAGAGACTCACCCAGAGAGACTCACCCAAAGAGACTCACCCAGAGAGACTCACCCAGATAAGCTCACCCAGAGAGACTCACACAGAGAGACTCACCCAGAGAGACTCACCCAGAGAGACTCACCCAGAGAGACTCACCCAGAGAGACTCACCCAGAGAGGCTCACCCAGAGATACTCACCCAGAGAAGCTCATCCAGAGAGACTCACCCAGAGATACTCACCCAGAGAAGCTCACCCAGAGAGACTCACACAGAGAGACTCACACAGAGAGACTCACCCAGAGGGACTCACACAGAGAGACTCACCCTTAGAGACTCACCCAGAGAGACTCACCCAGAGAGACTCACCCAGAGAAGCTCACCCAGAGAGACTCACACAGAGAGACTCACCCAGAGAGACTCACCCAGAGAAGCTCACCCAGAGAGACTCACCCAGAGAGACTCACCCAGAGAGACTCACCCAGAGAGACTCACCCAGAGAGGCTCACCCAGAGATACTCACCCAGAGAAGCTCATCCAGAGAGACTCACCCAGAGATACTCACCCAGAGAAGCTCACCCAGAGAGACTCACACAGAGAGACTCACACAGAGAGACTCACCCAGAGGGACTCACCCAGAGAGACTCACCCAGAGAGACTCACCCAGAGAGAGACCCAGAGAGACTCACCCAGAGAGACTCACCCAGAGAGACTCACCCAGAGAGACTCACCCAGAGAGAGAGACCCAGAGACTCACCCAGAGAGAGACCCAGAGAGACTCACACAGAGAGAGTCCCCGACTTACTCACTCACTCGACACCCCGGCTCAGGCTCGACCCCTGAGGCTCGTCAGAGCGGCAGTGAGAACTCGCGGCTTCATCCACCACCACGTTGAGGTGACGAGACCTCGCCTGTCAATTCTCCGTGGTCTACGGGTCGTCCCCTAGGTCGACTCAGCCTCAAATGAGTACCTGGTGCGGTGTGTAAACATCACAACTAGGGAGACATCGCGTCATGGTTCACGCAAAACAGCCTCCGGCACTACCAAGAATTGTCCAAGATCTGCATTCCTCTATATATTAAGATGTTTTCAACCAAATTAATGCCCGTTTATGTACATATGGAGTGGGTTCAACTGAATCACACACTTAGACTCGGAGGCAGCGTATTATTACTTCAACACAACGAGGTAAGTTACCCCTTAACAAGACAACGACCTAGGGTGGTCACCACCCTGGCTAACTACGTAAGTGACAGGATAACTATCAACTTCGGACCTGGACCAACAGCATACTGCCCGTGTCCACGTGCTGGAAGACTTGAAGATCGGAGATCATAGACGAAAGGTTTCTTACCTGGGACGGACAGCCAAGCTCCCTCTCGAGACTCGGCTTATATTTCTCTCCGGCGTGTCCGACTCTGCCTCTGGCCACGCCCCTTTTCCAGAACCTTCAGGAAGGACCTCGGTTCCCATCACGTGACCCTCACAGCCCCTTCTCGGGGCCCCCCTGTCATTCTAACCGGTCACGTGTCCTCCCGGGTCAACCAGGTTGTCATGGCCTTACCCGACCTTCCCTTCAGGTCGATACACACCGTGCCCTCTAGGTCCGGTACTGCACTAACCACGTGGTGACATCCAGCGATGTCACTACACACACACCATGTGCTATGAATAAGGGTCATTGCCCAAAACGTCACTTATGTATATATTTTTCTCTTCAGACTCCAAAAGCTCTCCAGCTTTCTCTCCGTTGCCTCCTCCCTCTCGTTGCTTTGACCCTCCGGGGCAGCCTTCAATATCTGTCCCATCTTCACACGCTCCGCCGCCTTTTCCAGTTGCATCCCTCTTGGCAGTTTTCTCCGATAGTTCGAGACCCACATGGCATCACGACGGTCAGAATGTTCACCACAGCCTGCCGGCCATCGCCGTTGTGTGTATGTGTGTGTCAATAACAAAAAAGGCACGTCTATTCAGATTTCAAGTAAACATTTATTTATTCCAACAGCCCATACACTTTCCAGACCAACATTTAACCCCATGCAGTGAGTTACGTTTAACCGAGTCGGGCCTTGCTAAAGAAACACTGCTTGGTCACCAGATGGTATTGACAAGACAACTCCCTCCATCTACGACGGAAACGCAACCACCGCTCGAAACCCGTAAATGGCGAGCGGAATGGGACATTAAAAAAAATACCTTCGTTTAAATATCACGAGACATTTTTCGTAGTTTTTTGATGTTTTGAGAATTTTGGGGGGGTATTTTTTTCAGTCACTGAGTGCTTTAGCCGATGCGAGCGCGAGTCTCTGTGATCGTGAGAGTTCGGCGGTGCTGGTGGATGGCAGGAGGTGGTATTGGTGGGGGAGGCGCTAGAGGGGC